CACAATTGAGAGGTGCCATGATAACCAGATAATCAGTGTTATTCACTTCACCAATCAGTGCTCACAGTGTTATGGCTGATTGGTGTATATGTCTGTGGTTTTTCATATGAAGTTAAAGAACCAGTGTGTAGGATTTAGGACTATCTAGTGGTGAAGTTGCAGATTGCAATTCATTGAACAACTTTTGCTTCTTTATTTGATGACCTGGAAATGAGAGCGCACTGTGATGTGTGTAGGTGTACAGTGGCCAAGAAACTCGCAAAAGACACTATCTAGAGTCAGCGGTTGGTTGTTCTGTTCTAGGATGAGACAACATGGCGGACTCAACGGAAGGCAACCAAACCACATCAACTCTTATTTTTAGGTGATTATACATCATTGAAAACATACCTATAAATATTATATTCCATTACTGCCAATGGAGCATACTAAATGTTACACACTGGACTCTTTAAGTGAGACACAGAATGTGTGGGTTATATTAGTGGGAGAGCTGAAGATTTTATTTAGTGGTTTCACAAGCACAGTTATATAAACCTAGATTTGATTGATAATTTGACTATTACACGTGTCCATAAAGTGCCTGCACAGTCTTGTCAAATCATTTTAACTCTATATTAAAACACTATATTCTTCTAAACATAATACACAAAAATACAGAAATGCACACACACGTACACTGGGTTGTTTTTTTTTATTTATTTGGAAAAGCCTGCCACAAAAGCTTGATTCTGTACAGTTAGATGGCTAAGAGGACTATCATTTTAAATAGTATTTCATGCTTTTAGGTTGCAGAAAGTCCTGTTTAGATGTTTTGCAAAGCTTTGCCTCAAAGTGCACATTTAAACAGAAACAGGTTCCTGTTTCAGTGTCAACTGCATAATAATGCCTCCAACAAGCAGTAATAAACAGGCGTGCTGCTTTTTTTGTTTTTTTGCTTTTGCTTTGCCTGGACCTGAATCTGCCTACCTGTCTCTTCCCTGTCTACCTGCCTGTACCTGCTTGTAAGCTGCATCAATATTACATTACTGAAGTCATCCTGTCTTCCATTTGGGACCAATCCTGTGTTTCCTGAATTGTGACATATGATGACAACAAGGATCATAGCAGTGGTGATGATGTTGATGATGATGACGACGATGATGATAATGAATGATTAATTTAGTATTCATTAATTTCTTTTGACAAATGTGCCTGTCTTTTTAATTTTTATTACATATTTGTTTAAAGGTCTGGTGTGTAACATTAAGGAGGATCTATTGGCAGGAATGGAATGGAATATTCATTCTTATGTTTTCATAAGATAGAAATTATTGTGTTTCTATCACCTTAAAATTAGCTTTTTAAATCTACAGATTGCCTTCCATGGAGTCCGCCATGTTGAACTGCCATGTTTCTACAGTAGCCCAGAACGGACAAACCTAACACTGGTTCTTCGCGCCTGGAAGAGGAGGGTGAAGTGAGGAAGATATGCAACTACACCGCTAGATGCCACAAAATCCTACTCGCTGGACCTAGAGCGAGTTGATTGCTCCGTCAGGTTCATTTAGATTTTTAGTGTTATTGTTACCCATTGCACCCCTGGTAACCCCATGTTTAGAAGAATGCAGCAGAAGTACCCTTCTGGATGCCCCTATGGTAGATATAACATTATAATCGTCTGGTTAGCTCAGTGGGTAGACCCATGCACCGAGACTTAGTCCTTGCTGCAGCGGCCCAGGGTTCGAATCCGATCTGCAGCCCTTTGTAGCATGTCATCCCCTCTGTCCCCCTTTCCTGTTTATCTTCAGCTGTCTCTATCATAAAGGCAATAAAAGACCCAAAAAATACTTATATACACACAAATTCAGCATTTTCTTTTCCCTGATACGCAGCCATTGCTCTATTAGCTCTTTGGTTGGCTGCACACTTTTCTAATGCAGGGCAAGGCGTTCAAAGTTTATATCTTGAATAATAATCTGAACTTTAAAAATAACAATTTAATTTCGTTTTCTTCATGCTGCAATACAGGCCTACTGTGTAGATTTTTAAGTTTTCTTCGCAGTGAAGCTCTGGCGACCCCTAGTGGTTCGGGAACCACTGCTCTAGGGTGCGTTTCCAGTGGATAAAATGTGGTAAAGTTCCCTAAAGGGAGTTAATCCTGACCCTGAATAAGCTGTTTCACCAAAAATGCATCACAACTTTATGTGCACTGGTGCTGCCACATGAAGATTACTGACAAATGTCATGATTTGATCTAACAGCATCCAACAGCATTGTACAGCAACCCTGAAGCCCCACATTTACCCCCAAGTCATTATTGATGCTTTTAAAGCAATAATTCCACATTTTGGTGGACACTCTCATTGGTGGATACATTTACCTTTGGACTGATCCATGCTGGCTGCTTCCCACTCTCTCCAGTGTTTGTGCTACGCTAAGCTAACTGGCTGCTGGTTCCAGTAATATATTTACTGTACAAACATGGGTGTAGTATCAGTATCTAACTGCAAAAAAGCAAATAAGGGTATTCCTTTAAACCAGCTGTGTGTATCTTCCCATCATGTTTAGTTTTTGCACATCGATATTAACTAAGAGTCTTCCAAATTACTCTGCCTTGTTTGTTAAATGATTGGACAATCATAATGAAATTCGTTGCAGTCCAGGTCTTGCTACACTTGCTAAACTAATCACTGAAACAAACCAATAGACACATTGCTGGTCAAATTATGCTAATTTTCAACACTGTTTCACATTCAGGAGGTGTGGCATCCATGCATACACAGTATGTGTGGAGGATGCCACTACCCTGTCTCCAGACAACAATATGATATTACGCTCAATGACATCCAGTGGCAAAGCTTTTGAAACTCAATTCATAATTAATTTGCTTGGAAAATCCTGCAAATGAAGATATTTGAACTCAAAAACAATATTATACATTAGTAAAGCATTGAATAGAAATATCGAAAGGTGGCATTAGAAATCAATACATTGTTTTATTACCATGTCTTCAGACATTTTTCCAAATGTCTTTTTTCATTGAACTTAAGCCTATCACTGAGTCTAAAATGTGGCTGTAAGATCATTAAATTCAGGGCTTGAACTGGACCAAAAATGGAGCCATTACCCTAAACACACCATAAACTAACCCTAATTAATTTTCCCTTTTTTTCCTTTTTCACAAGGACATTTTCAGTGCTGTTTTTTTAGTATTAAGCTAGCTATGTGTTTACACAGAGACAGTTACATATTGTTAACTCATCAGCAAAGCGCTTTAGAAGTACAGAGGCCCAAACACTGAACTTGCTAGGGAGGTCTTGGGGCATGCAGGGTGCGAACTACAGGGGAGCCAGAGGGATCTTGGCTCCTCTTAACAAAGACATGAGCTCCCCTGAAAACATGATTTGTGAAATTTTGAGGGGTCTCTAAAATATTGACAACATGCTATTTTTGCCATGTATTTCTAGTTTTCTGTATTTTTAACATCCTGAATCATTGATGTATGTGTGCTATTAACAGATTTTTTTAAATATTAGATGTGCTGATATAAAGCAGGTAAGCCTACATGATAGCGCAAAAAAGAATGCATGGATCAAAGGCAACCAGAGGTGGTAGTACTCAAGACAAGAAGTAAGGGTACTCTTGAACAAAAATCTGAAGTGCTGGTACTCAGAACCTGTGGGTACTGGAACATTTCAGGCACTGATTAAATTATGTATTAATTTCTGGTTTTTAGCACATTATTTTCTAAATGAATCTCAATTAATGTGTTAAATTTGCAAGTGCCTCACTGCTAAATAGCTGAGGCGACTGGGGGAGCCCTGCAATGAGCTACAGCCAGTCAGGGCAGACACGGGTAGCGAGCTGGTAGTTAGTTTGGCAACAGCCTAAAAAAACTCCTCAGATACCGACACACACACATAATGGACTGTGAATTAACTGTGTTGTGAGCCTTTGTTCAATCCGGCGTGTATCTGATCCAACTGACAATAACTTTGAGTGTGTATGAATGATTAGTTTCTATTCTGGTGAGCAGTTGGCACCTTGCATGGCAGCCACTGCCATCAGCGTATGAATGTGTGTGAATGGGGTGAGTGTGGCATGTAGTGTACAGCGCATTGAGTGGTCGAAAGACTAGAAAGGCGCTATATAAGTACAGTCCATTTACCACTTACAGTAATTAAATAATGGCCTTCAACTTGTGTTTCTAGAGTGACATATTTTTACAGACACATTAGGAAAATGTTAAAATTTTATATTTCTTAAAGGGACTTTGGTGCAGGGAGCTTTTAATGGAATTCAAGCTGACTCATGCTGTGTGTGATTTTTAATGTTTTGTCACCACTACTCAAAAACAAGGTAACTGTACAATTATGATAATGTTGTCTGATGTTGACTGCTGATAGTTATTAGTTTGATTAATGCTTTAATAATGTGTGTATTCACAGCAGTATGCTGTAAATTGTTCCCCTTTGTGCCTGTTTACTACTACTACTTTCCTAATTAAACGTGATGTGCTTATTGTTAATGGTGTTATTAATGATTCCTGATGAAACCTAGTTTGGAGAGCAGTCAGACTGGTTGTGAGAGATCTTGTAGTGTGAAAACCACAACTTTAATACTCCCGATTTACAAGACTGAAAGTTGCGTAGTGTGAACTGTACATCATCTCACAACTTTGAAAGTCTTGTAGTATGTCCAAGGCTTTAGTTTACATTTTTATCTCAGTTACTACTTGTTTCACTATAATAACCTTGCTCCTGTCAGCTCTGTAGTTCATCAGAGGACTGTAGGGTCAACAAGCTGCTCAGTGCAGTGATGGAGGTGACATGTTTGCTGAGCAAATAAAATTAAGAAAACTTGAGCCCAGAGTCTATTATTTATTTAACATATAAATGTCACAGGCCAACCACAATGGAGATATTTAGAGTGAAGGCTCTCTCTCTCTCTCACCTGTAGGAACTGGTGTAGCTCCACCTTGTCTGACAGCTTATAAAGGGACGCATCCCACAGGTTAGTCTTCTCATAGTGGCTCAGTCCTCAGGACCAACATGGGGACCGCAGGACTCCAATCCACGTTATGGCTCTGCTACCTGACACTGCTGGTCGGCTCACTCACTCAAACCGGTGAGTGCCGACCTGAAAACTGATTACAGCTGCACACTCACTGGATACAATATGACTGGAAAAAGGTCAAAGAGTGGACGACTAGATGTTTTAACAGAGCTTCATTTTGGTGTATAATGGAACATTGGAACATGCTAAACTAATTTGAATTTCAATTTTGTTTTATCTTGTCTTGATAACATTTCCTTTAGATTTCCATTTCATTTTGTATCATAAGGAACTCCAAAGATATTGTTTTATAAAGTTATCTATTTTGACTTCCAAATTCTTAGTAATACAGAATCAGTGGTGGAGCCTGGCTGAGGCCAGTGATCACTTTGGAGTGGCCCAGAAATTAACCTATTTTCATCATTTTTTTCTGTGTTGCATGGCTCTGTAGAGGTTAAGTTATGATGTGTGCTTTTCTGAACAAAATGTGTGTATCTAAAATAAGCTGCTGATAGTCTCCTGATGTGCAGGCTAACATTTTATATATGATATACAGATCTGGATACAGATCCATAAACCTGTATACCATTGGATCTTTCTGGATACAGGTCATACTGTGGGAGATGTTTTTCTAAGGCTAAAACTGATTATTTCTTCTCTTACAGTAACCATCGCTCCGTCTCTAAACACACTGAGTGTGAATTCAGGTAATTGTGCAAATGCCCAAAGCAGATTTTCTCAACTCAACTGTCTACAATAGTCAGAAAAGATGTTTTAATGTATCACTGTTGTTGTAGCTAACGCATCTCACCTCGGCCGAGTGTGCACGACTTGGGGAAACTATCACTGGAAGACCTTCGATGGAAATTTCTTCCAGATGCCCTCCACCTGCAACCATGTGGTGACCTCACAGTGCAAGAGCAACTATGAAAATTTCAACATCCAGATGAGGCGCACCACAGTCAATGATACCACCACCATCAGCAACATCATCATGAAGCTGGAAGGTTCTGTGGTGGAGCTCTCCAAAAGCTCAGTGATTGTCAATGGCAAGACGTAAGTTCACTTCAGTCAACTACATGTAGCCCTGAGACACTATACCTTACATATTCTGAATAGTGTGAGACTGTTTTAGATGTTAGGTCTTTCTGCAGTGCTGCAAATGAAGTATAGAGGGGTACAAGTAATTTGTACTTAAGTACAGTACTTGAGTAAATGTACTTAGTTACTTTCCACCAGTGCAAAATATCATTGGGATGTCTAATATTTGCTATCATTCACAAGATTTGAAAATGTACAATTCAGTGCCTGCCAGTAGCATAAAAAACCACAATGGCAGATGGTTTGCAGATTAGCTGCTCAAACAAGCATCAAGCTGCAAGTTGATTTTAACGCTGTGATAAGTGCAAACAAAGACTGTGTGGATGGTAGAAAAACAGAGTCACAGTCTGGAGAATCAGAAGCCATCATACTGTAAGCAACAAAGTCTCACTGTAAACAAACTGCTTTATACATCTCAGACGCTCTATGATTATTGATCTGATATAAACATTGTATCAAATTATGTGTAATTTCTTTGGAGTCACTCATAGGGCTGAGGTCATTAACACCCACCTCTTTTAGCTAATTTCTTGGCTAATACATTTACTGATACAACCTTAGGTAATTGCTAGATTTCTGATAAATGAACTGTTCCTGCAACATCAAATGACAATAGGACAAAGTTATCTAGATCTCATGTCTGACCTCCTGTATCACTCTGGGAAGGCTGGAGATTGTGTAAAATGATTGCAGCGTTTAGCCACTTCCCTCAGCAGCCCTCTTCCCATTTTACAGGTGAAGCTAAATTCCACACAAACAGTGATTTTCTGTCATTTTACAATTTTTTCCCGTCATTCATAGAAGACATTACTTTGTCTCTCACTGGAATCATCCTGTGATGGCACTCTAAGTGGACCTGTTGTCATCACTTAAATAAATACATGGTTGCAAGATAAAAATTCTAGATAAAGATAAACATTTTAAGTTGCAAACATTATTGAGTTGCGTTGACATAAAATAAATATAAAATATCTTTCATGGTAGTGGAAAAGCTAATTTACCTAACTCAATGTAATACATTTGTTAACCATAATTTCATTTGAAGTTGCCAACTCAAAAGGACAAACCACTTTTTTTCAAACAAAACATTTGTTTTTTAAAGTGAGCTTTCTTGTCTCATTTGCACACTATCTCTCTCTGTGTTTACCACAGGGCGTCTCTGCCATTTGTCATATTCGGGGTGACTATCAAGGGAACCGCATCTAGCATCATGGTGGATGCTAAGCTGGGCATTAAAGCTATCTGGAACCTGGATGACTCCCTGGATGTATGAAGCACACCCACACATATGCACACACACATATGCACTTTTCATAGGGTTTGACAAACATTGTGAGTCGACTCCACTCACTGCATGAGTCTGCTTCTTATGAATCTACATGCATACAAAGGAATGCACTTTAGCTGTTTTAATTATTTGAAGGATAAGGCTGACGTTATCTTATCATTTTATTAATATTATTGACAAATGCCATGAAAAGACCAAAACAAACAATGACCTTATCTTTCCAACAAGTATTGTGTGTGTTGCCACACTCTGATAGAGCTTAACCCTCCCTCTACAGAACTCCATTGTTGTCCAGAAGCTATTAAAACCATAAACAAGAGCCATTGTGTTGCACTTCTGTGACGTATTTGATAAGTGTGGTGAAAACAGCCAGTTCTATCAGCTCATTAAACTACTAACCTGAAAGATTGTTCACATCATAAGGACCGTTAAGTGGAAAGCAAATATAATAAGGAACAGACAACAAAAAAGCAAACAAGGTCATGGGATGGTCAGTAAATCAAGGCAAATTTGCTAATTTAGAAAAAAAAGATATTGCACATACCAGAATTGAGAGAAATCTGTCTCATTGGTTAAATAAAGAAACCATTTTCTGCATCGTTTTTCTCTGAAGTCGTATGGAGGAGGTCATCTGTTCTAAAAGATGTAGGTGACAAAGCCAGTATTTTATAATAGCCTTTTTATTTGATGCCAGCCAGATCTCCTAGGAGGTAGGTATCATCTTCATTTCAAGATAGAGGGATATGAATGTTAAACACAGGGTTACAAAGGATATTAATAAAGGCTCTGTCCCATTCAGTGAACCAGACAACACGCACAATACCAGCACCCATTAGTATCGTTGGTAACACCTATGTTTACCCTATACCCAATACATTTGCTTTCTGCCATTGATTTAGAACCTTCTGTAGCTACCAGCACACTGTGTGTGATGGATGGAATTGACTCTCCTCAAAAACGATGGCAATTTTTGTCAAAAAAGCTGGACATCCAGCCTTCAAAGGAATGTTTCTACACATCAGTCTACAGTGAACATGAACTACTTTATATATGTCAGTGGCACTATCCGTTCTTCCTTAGCCTCTAGCCTAACTTCAAATCTCACTGAGATCTTTTTTGAGGAAGACAAACTGGGCTAAAAACAATAACCTTCATGGCTGAGGGAACAGGTAAAAAAGTCTGACAAATATTCATCAAGGCTCAGTACACAGCAGCAGTGCATCACTGGGTGACTTTGTGGGATATGTTATGAAGAGATACGCAAGCAATGCGAATCTGCCAAGCCTGAAAACCACAATACAAATGTAGTGCTTTAAATAAACATGTGGCTGAGTGCATTACTTCATGAAGATGAATGTGATTCATGGATTTCCTCACTAGAGATTGATGTAATTTGAATATTAGAAAAACATGTCAACAGAATGATATTTGCTACGGATGGGTGGAAGCCATGTTTCATATAGCTAATGATACACCGGGAAGGATGGCAACAGGCAGTAGTCACAGTATATTTGATCACACAGTTGATACTTTACACTACGTACAACAAATATCTTCTCTGTTTGCAGACTGAATAACATGCCATGCTCCACGTAGGAAAAAAAAGCTTGGCTCTCCCATGATAACAACTCAAATCAAACACTGCACGTTCCCCACGTCTGTTAAAACCCGCTGTCCAACTCCTTGTGGTTAATGAGCCTCTGTTTAGATCAAAATTCTGATCATCTCAGAAAGAGTCCAGAAACTGTGATGTGAACTTGAGTTTGAACTACTCAAATCAATTACATAAAAAGAATGACATGTAAAAAATGTGTTGAAATCTTAAAAACCTGCTTTATTAAAGCTGCATTAGGTAACTTTTATAAAAACAACATTGACAAAAATGCTTTTATAAAAATTACTGTGTTGTGATTTTGCTGATAACTACTGTATGTTTGGGGTGTGTTCACAGATTGAACTCGATATCAAATACCAGGGCCTGACATGTGGACTCTGTGGAGATTTTGACGGCATAGCCAATGATTTAACGAGTGAGGGTAAGGTCCTTTTCAGCGTTTTGATGATTTTAAAACACTTCTCAAAATATATCTTTCCAAAAAAGCCTTTTATGTATTCTAGCACACTGTTTCATTTCCGCCATGTCTCATCTATCATTATTATTTTTTTTTTTATTGTTATTTCTTTTAATTTTGTATCATTTCTATTTATTTATTTGCCCCAGTGTAATTCATTTGCAATATGTTTTTTTGTTTCATTGTTTATATTACTTTATTATTATTATTATTATTATTATTATTATTATTATTATTATTTACTTATGAGGGTCTTTTTCTTCTTTTATTTTCTTCTTTATGATTTCAATTGTCTGATTTCATTTTGCCTCATTGTCACCTGAAATATTATAATATATTTTAAATCTTGCTTCTGGCCATGTAAGGCACTTTGTGCTGTATATGTATATTTTTTTACTTTTGATATTGTATACCGACTTTGTACATTGGAGCCCTGTTACTGTTTATTAAAAAACATAATGTAATTATTTAAATAAAAATACAATAAAACAAATAAATACAAAAATAAGAGTAAACGCAATACAATAAGATAAACAAAATAAAATAAAAATACAACAGCAGATGAATGCATGTTATAATTTCCCTCATCAATGACTGTAGAACAGCTTAATATTGCAACTGTCTGAACTAGTAACCAGTTCACAATTTTCACAAGTTAGCAACCCCTGCATTATTGGAGAGGGTTTACAACTTTATGCTACTTCCGGTGAAAGAAATATACTGTATTATATACCTTTATTATACTTGGCCAGGCCTAATAGCTTAGACTTGCCCATTGATTTACACTGGGAGAAAAACTGCCTATAGGGCACCAATACCCAGACAAGGTTCAAGTACCTGGAGGTACTGACTATTGCAAGAATTTTTCGGAAAGCTAATTCTTAACTAAAAAACCTTCAGCATGTTCCACCATTGATGTGAAATTGTCGAACATTCCTACGATTTATTGTAAAATTTCTCAAAAAAGGATGCATTGCAAGATACTGGGCTGAATGGTAATTGCCACTGTTGTGTGATTGGTTGCACTGTAGGAGCGCCGCTGTCTGTGGAGAACTATGGTGAAATGTACAAGGTGAACGGGCCGACAGAGAGCTGTGAGGAGCCTGAGCTCAACCCGGTCTTAAGCTGCGGCAATGAGGTAACTCTTCACTCTTTATCCAAACAACCAATCAGAGCCGAGAAAGCTATTTGATTGTCAAGTCTCATTCCCAGGGTCCCTTTATAGTGAAAGTTTCAGCAAATATGATAAAAAGTTATTTTTATAAAAGTTATTTACTTTAACCTGGCTGTTTCATTATGTATCTAAACACATTTAAACATACATATTACTTATTTGGAGTAAGTGTTCACACACAAACTCACACATGTAGCAAGTTTAATACTCATGTTTAATAAAATCTACTTCACCATTCTATCTTCATATAGGACTGCAACTAATGATTATTTTCATTACGGATTAATCTGCTAATTATTTTTTTCCATTAATAGTGAGAGAGAGATATTGTCACAGTTTGCCGCCTTCACAATGCTTGTTTTGTGTGACCAAAATCATTGCTGATTAATTTTCTGTCAATCAACCAATTGAGTAATTGACTTATTGTTTCAGCTGTACTTGTATATATACTGTTGGGTAGTTTAATTTATGACAAAATATCCTACCTTATAATGTCCTTTTTTCTATGTAAAAAAAAAAAAAGGTTTTATTTATAAGATAACAACTACAGTTGTCAGAAAAATGTAGTGAAGTAAAAAGTACAATATTTCCCTCTGAAGTGTAGTGGAGTGGAAGTAGAAAAGTTCATGAAAAGAGAGGACTCGAATAAAGTAAAATTACTTCAAATTTTTACAGCTATAAATAGGCAGCAAGCAGCGAGCAAAGACAGTTAGGACTCCAAACTGGATTTTTTTAAATACTTGATTGACTGGTTTTATTTTGTTCTGTTTGTTTGTTTCAGGATTTCTGTGACCAGATTTTCTCCAGTGATCCATTCAGCAGTTGCCAAAACCGGCTGGATGAGGAATCCTTCAGTAACGCCTGTATGGTTGACATGTGCAACACCAAAAACAACACTGACTCCATCCTCTGCAAAACCATCTCAGAGTTCTCCAGACAGTGTGTCCATGCGGGAGGCCAGCCCAAGCAATGGAGGAATAAAACGCTTTGCTGTAAGGATGCTATATAGTTCATCTGAATGATCTCTCTTGAATTAAAGCCAGCAGCTGTAGTGTTGTTTGCCTCACGTTTTGCAGAACTGTTTCTGACATTAAAGTGTTTGTCTCCACAGATAAGGAGTGTCCCTACAACATGGAGTTCTTTGAGTGCAGCAGTTCATGTCCTGACAGCTGCTCCACCCCTCATGCCAGCCAGACATGTGACAACCACTGTTACGACAGCTGCAGCTGCCCTGCAGGTACCCAATGTGCACCGCAGTCACAATCTTAGTCAGGTCTCGCTCATATACATAAAACATGACAGTGATGACTATTCTCTTATCTCCCCTCTCCAGGAACGGTCTTTGATGACATCAATAAAAGTGGCTGTGTTGCAGTGGATCAGTGTCCATGTCTGCACAACAACAAAGTATACACACCAGGAGAGTCTTACTCTCTCAACTGTAGATCCTGGTAAGATGAGAATGTTTAATGTAAATGGTAAATGGACCTGTACTTGTATAGCGCCTTTCTAGTCTACTCAGACCACTTAAAGCGCTTTTACACTACATTCACCCTTCACATTCACATTCACTCAGTGATGCAAAGGCCATCGAATGAGCAATTCGGGTTTCAGTATCTTGCTCAAGGATACTTTGACATGTGGCAGGAGGAGCCGGGGATCGAACCACCAACCTGCCGATTAGTGCTATGCCTGTGTGTCTCCATCACCAGCGTGTTGAAAGATCAATGAAAGTAATGGTATTTCCTAGTAAGTTATATCTACTGGGCAATGACTTATTACTTGGTAACCATTTATTTGGGTACTTTCTTGATATTTGATATTTTTACCATCTAGTTTCCTAGATGTTTCCATGACCTAAATAGCTAATAACTTAGTACTTACTATCCTTTCCTTCTGTGTTACCCAGGGTTGGGAGGGTTACTTACTAATTACCTGTTCACTAACAAAGACCACGCCAATGGCTGTATGGAATAAGAAACATTTTATTACACGTTATGAACATATGTGGAATACTGGGAGGGAAAGGGTCGAGGGATGGAGGGGATGGAAGGATGAAGGGATGATGGGGTAGGGGTCGAGGGATGGGGAAAAGGGTCGAGCGTTGAGGGATGAGGGGGTATAGGAAGGACGGGTGAGGGTTGATAGAAAGGGAGAAAAGCTGGTAGGATAGGTGGATGGAGGGAGGAGTTCGGCGAGATGATCAGGAGGAACAGAGTGGGTGTTGAGACGCTGAGTGGGGGGACCGTCTCTTATCTCTTCATGAGCCCCAGTGGTTCCTGTATTTGGATAAGAGAGAGAAAAAAAGAGAGAAAAAGAAAGAAGGGGATTGGTGGGGAGGGATGTAGAAAATTAGTCAAGGAGGGAGTGAACGGATAAGGTGTGCTTATGTTTTGAGCAGAAATGAGATGAGTTCGGGGTGTGGTCTTTGTTCCCGAATGATTTAAGGTTTTATGCCAATCACATTTTTTGGTTTTTGGTATTCTGGAAATCATAAGGTTTAGTATAGTAGATTGAATAAATTAAGGGATATATGTGCACAAATACCAATTATAGGTCAATATATTGCTAAATTTGGCTGAGTTATAAAAGCCAGTAATCCCATCAATAGCTCAAATCAATACTGCTTCCCAATTTTACCTACTTACACCAAATCCACATTCATTTCAATTAATCTACAATGAACTTGGAGGTTTTTCTTGAAGTAAACATTTACTGTACTAAGACGTTTTAACGGCCATAAGGGAATAAACACACAAAGTGTTTTATAACATCATGTTATGTTATGTTGTTGTTTGTTTCTCCAACCCATTAAGTAAATTGCATTGAAATACACTCCCCTTGAATCCACAGCATTAGAATAATCTGTTACGACAGATATGAAGTCTGCTATACTGCTATTTTAGGATTAGCACTTTTATTAGGATTAGGTTATTTGTCCCCTCTTGTCTTCAGGCCCAGAACTACTAATGGAGGTAAACACTGCCAAATGATATGTTTTGCCTGAGGAACTATTTTAACTACTGTACCAGCTTTGTCCCTTGTGTTAATGCATGTTCAGGGTGGAACCAGTCAGAGGGTTAAGTCCTTCCTGGAGGGGGGAGGGTCATTGTGGGGCTGTTTTCTAAAAGCTGCAGGTGGAATATGAAGAGTATTCAGTATTTGGTGAGACATTAGTGTCTTCATTCCTGGGCTTCCTGATTGCTCACCTGGTAGAGCTGGCACCCATTGTACCAAAGTTGAGTTCTTGCTGCAGCAACCATGGGTTCAACTCTGACTGTGTCATCCCCTACCTCTCTCCCACTTTTCCCATCCCTTTTCAGCTGCCACCCTTGATTAAAGGCAATAAAAGCCCCAAAAATATTTAAAGTTAATAAGTTAATACATTAGTGATGTCATTCCCTGTGTGTGTTACCGCTGATAAACTGATGTAAGCCTTTATCAGGGAGTGTTCTTCTGGCATATGTGTAAAGCCTGCGTGAAACAAGTTTAATTTAATTTTAATTTAATTAAATTTATTAGAAATGTTTGAAATTTGTGTGTGTGTGTGTGTGTGTGTGTGTGTGTGTGTGTGTGTGTGTGTGTGTGTGTGTGTGTGTGTGCGTGCGTGCGTGTGTGTGTGTGCTGACAGTGTGTGCCAGAGTGGCCGGTGGACGTGTACAGAGGAGAACTGTCCAGGGACCTGCTCTGTGGAGGGAGGAGCTCACATCAACACCTTCGACGGAAAAGTCTACACCTTCCACGGGGACTGCTCCTACGTTCTGGCTAAGGTAGCATGATATGATGTATATTGAATGTACTGTATGTTGGACAGTGAGGTATTTGAATGTGTCCTATAGCAGATCAGTGTTTGTGGTTGGTAACATGAGTGCAGAGATGGAAAGTAATGACATACAAATTCTCTGTTTCTGTACTTCAGCAATTCTTATCATTATTTTCTAGTTGTTTCGTATCCATTTAAACAACCATTTATATATAATTAAAATAAAAAGAATAGACTAAGACTGGAGATTATTTGAAGTTTCAGATAGCTTTGCACAGAAACTGTCAGTAGAAATGTCCAAGAGAGTACTTTTTAATTGTATACTCTGAGTACATTTCAGAGGCTGTGCTTTTTCACTTTTACTTGAATACAGAAATTGAATCAGTGCTTCCACTTTTACCAGAGTCTTGTATCGGCAAAGACTGCGTGCACTTTCCACTAGAGTGATGTCTCTACACTGTCACTAGTTTTCAGTCAGTATTAAAGTTCAAGCTTTGTCCCATTGTGTGTTGCAGCAAAATAATGGCTCCTTATACACTGTGCTGGCTGACCTGGTCAAGTGTGGTCTGGGTGACAGTAGGACCTGCCTCAGAGCTGTAACTCTGGCCTTATACAGCAACTCTGTGGTAAGCTCCAGACACACACACACACACACACACACACACACACACACACACACACACACACAGATATACTGTTTACTATTCTGTCATAAAACACACTGGTAATCACCTGTCAAATGGACCTTGCAAATATAACACAGTGACTGGGTGTCAAATGCTTTCAAATGTAAAATTAATTCAAATTAATTTTCAAAATACTGGGGGGTTTTGGGGTTGTTTTTGTTTTTTTAAAGGAAAATTAATTGAATGATCTTATGGCCACATTTTAGACAAAGTGATATGATTCATTTCAATGAAAAAAGAGAAATTAATTTGGAAATAAAACAAAGCATTGACATTTAGATATTTCTATTCAGTGCTTTACTAATGTGCCACAACAATGTTTTGTGTTCAAATATCTTCCTATGTGGGCTTTTCAAAGCAAATATTCATATAGCCTATGCCTTTTACTACCTGACAGGTTGTTAAAATTCAGGCATCCGGCCAGGTCTATGTGAACCAGATTCTTTCTCAGCTTCCGCTGTTTACACGTGAGTTACTTCAAATTATATCACAGAGGACACATAGCATGTTATAAAAACAGCTGAAAATGATCCTCAGTCATTTCAGAGTCACAGCCTAACCAAGTGCAGAATAAAACAACAGTTTTGAATTTGTATTGATAAGTGATGGGATGAACATGAGATGAGTAGCTACAGTCACACATGTTTAAGTTTCTCTGGCTGATCGAACAAATTTGCGGTAACACTGACTCTTTCAATGTCTCCTGACGCTGCAGCGGAGATCAGTGCTTTTAAGCCATCATCCTTCTACATCTTCATCAGCGTCAAGGTGGGCTTAAAAGTGATGGTCCAGCTGTCCCCTATGATGCAGGTCTTCATTTTAGCTGACACTTCACTCAGAGGAACCACTTCTGGTACAGTATGCCTCCTTATTATTGTGTCAGTTTTTTTTTATTGTGTAGGTTACTTTTGTGTTTACCAGTAGGCCCTTAATTGGAAGTGCTAGGAAAGTGTTTTGATTTGTAATACTTCACCTTAAAGCTGCAGTAGGTACCTTTTTATAAAAAAATACTTTTTGTCCTTACTGCTGAAACTTTTACTATATCCTGACAGTAGTACATGAGACAGATAATCTGGGGGATAAAACAGGTTCTTCTGGCCTGAAAGAAAACAACCAATCAGAGCCAAGAAAGATAGACGATAATTCTCATTCCCAGGGTGTCAGATATAGATCTGATGGTGACGGTGGATTCTTGCAAATGCCATTAGGAGCACTAGGAAGAAGCAGAGGAACCTGCTATTGTCAGTGTGTAACATTTAGGAAGAGCTATTGGCAGAAATGGGTTATAATATTCATTGGGATGTTTTCATTCACCTGAAAAATAGGAATCGTTACATTAGGAGCAGGTCCTCGTCTATGGAGTCTGCCCTGTTTCTGCAGTAGCCCAGAACAGACAAACCAAACACTGGCTCTAGATAGGGCTTTTTGCATTTTTCACAAGTTTCACAGCCACTGCCGTAGTTTCTCCTTAGAGGTTCCTTAGAAATCGAGGGTGAAGTGAGGGAGTTTCCATCTGCAGCTACTACTACTACACCACTAGATGCCACTAAGTTCTACACACCGTCCTTTAAATGGTTATATATAAACGTATGTGTATGTGTCACCCTATCCAACAGGTTTGTGTGGAAACTTCAACAACATAATGACTGATGACTTCAGGGTGATGAGCGGGCTGGTGGAGGGCACCGCTACAGCGTTCGCCAACACATGGAAAACCAGAGCCAGCTGCCCTGACATCACAACACGCTTTGGGCACCCCTGTAGCCAGGGCATCAGCAAGGGTACCGCTGTTCTCCAATGTCTTGCCACATCATATCATGTTTGTCATGTATCATATTATATGAAAGCATTCCACATACCTTACACTGCATTTTTACCATGCCATTTTTAAGGAATGTGATGTTTTGTAACCATTTCATTTCTGTATGTTTCTGTGCATCAGAGAGCTACGCCCAGTACTGGTGCTCCAAACTAACAGATCCCAAGGGAGTGTTTGCTCAATGCCACGCTGTCATTAGCCCCAGCGTATACAAAGATGTAAGTCTGCATATGCTGTAACTGTAATGATGAATAAACTTATTAAACTACTATACCCTTATTAATATGTCCATGTACACTGTGTCTCCTCACAGAACTGCTTGTATGACACCTGTAACTGTGAGAAAAGTGAGGACTGCATGTGTGCCGCAGTCTCCTCATATGTCTACGCCTGCTCAGCGGCAGGAATCTATCTCACTGGCTGGAGGGAGACCGTCTGCGGTGAGATAAACACCCACCTTTTTTCTTTAACTGTGATAAATGGAGAGAGGCTGGGTTTGTAACAGCTGATCACATGCATCATCAACAATATAAGAGCACTTTGATTTTATTCATTTATTGGTTTCTTTATTGCAGCAAAAACAATAATGACTCCGTGAGGTAAACATTACAAAAACTAAGCACAGCATATACAAAGCTGTGTAAGTCCCACTCCTTTTGGAGCATTGGTCAACTTTCTTCTTTCCTGTACAATGGATCTGTAGCATCTCATGCCCTCTATAGCCCGTCTATGTTCAAAAGACAACCACATTTTGAAGATGGATAAAAGATTACAGCAACATAGTCACATCTTAAGCTAATGTTAGCAAAATACTAGCTAACTAACAATTGATGTGAATTAGCTAGCTAGTTAATACGTGTTTTGCTCTGTAGCAAAACAACTCGCTAGCTAATGATTAACTAACTTAAGAGGTAATATGTCACTTTTAGCATTTAACTTTGGTGATCTTTTAAATGTAGAGTACAGGAAAGGAGAAAGATGGCTGAGGCTTGCTCAACTGTTATCATTATGTGCCTCTGCAACAACAAACAATTATTTGTTCAAAATATGTTTTACTTGTCCTCTCAGAAGTTAATCATGTGCTGTACGGTAGTTACATGAAAAACATCTCATTCATCAATCTGATACTCATGTTACCACTCCACTCGTATCTCTCCCACTAGGCAAGTTCAGTGAATCATGTCCAGCGGAGACAGTGTACGACTACGACATGACCTCCTGCGGTCGTACCTGCCGCTCCCTCAGCCAGGTTGACTACTCCTGCCAGACCAACTTCACCACAGTGGACGGCTGCGGCTGTGCCAAAGGAACCTACATGAATGAGGAGGGGAAGTGTGTGTTCAGTGCAAGCTGTCCCTGCTATGATAAAGACACCATAATTCCTCCTGGAGAGGCTATCAGCAAAGACGGCAGCACATGGTAAATAGAGAGTGTGATATTGAGAGTTGGGCATTAAGGGGTCAGGGGTTTACTTTATAGTGAGCAGAGAATTGAGATTGTGGACAGGACATGGATTTGTTTCATCTCAGGGCATTACAGAGCACAAGTTTTACATTCTGACACTCAAATAAAATGAACTAAAGTAAACATGGTTAACTAGGTAGACTATAAAGAGTTACTTACGGAAGAGTCTGCGTAATAAAAACAACATCCCAAAAATAAATAACAGCGACTTTCAGGCCCGGCCCTAACCAATGTGGCACCCTAGGCAAGATTTTTGACTGACTGTTACAAGCAGAGCAAACGTTAGCTAACCAATAATAAATACAAATAAAAATGTAGACAAATGTAAACAGCTGCTGAATAGATCTAATCTTTACAAATGTCCCTGAGAAATAGAAGGTGGGAGTATTATATATATTATTGGCCCCTCTATAACATGAACTGACGTTAAAATGAGCTAACGCTATTTATTGATTAACAAACCGTGTTAGACTAAAGGTTACTATCGTTCTGCAACAGACAAATCATTTCATCACATTATCTTTACTCTACCTCTGTCTTTGTCACGTTTTTTCTTCCTCTTCTTTTCTTTTTTTCCTTCCCTGGGCACTGGAAAGTTTTGGTGGTTTTGTCATTGTTAATGGTTTCTGAGGTCAGAAAACTCAACCATCTCTCAGAGAGCAGGTAGAGTCTAATCAGTCAGAGGGGGGGCTTAATAAAGTCTTAAAGGGCTTATTTTTTTCATACTAAGAAATAATAGCACCAACTAGTTTCAGTATAAAAATATTGAAAGTTGCACCTTTTTTTTTTCTCTTCCCCCATTGTGGCGCCCCCCAGATGGACGGCGCCCTTAGCATTTGCCTATACTGCCTATGCCACGGGCCGGCACTGACGACTTCCCACACAGCACATAGACTTTACATTACAAAACTCTAGCTAGCTAATGATTGACAGGGATTAGCTAGCTAGTTTGCTTGCGTTTTTAACCGTCTTTAAACTTTGATTGTCTTTTCTACATAGAAGAGCCTAGCACATAGTATATCTTAGTACAGGAAAGAAGAAAGTTGACCAAGGCTTGCTCAACTGTTATTGGAGCACAGATCATGAGGGGGGTTCATTTTAAAGGTGCTATATGCAGTTTGTCTTGTGTATGTTGTGACTTGTTACATAATAAAAATATGAAATAATATAAAGTAAATCTAACTTAGCTTATATTTAAATTTGCCACAATTACACCATTACAACCACTAACATTTTATCACGAAGGCAATAGGTTAAAACAAAGGGGAAGGTCAAAGGGCAAGTTAGAGGACATTTCAGCCAGTGTACATCATTACTACTAAGAGGGATAAGACAAAGAAGGATGTCAGGATGTTGACTGATGACTCTGTTCCTTCTGCTTCTCACAGTATCTGCAGACAAGGCACTCTCAGCTGCTCAGGATTGCAACAAACAGAACGTAGGTTTCCACATATGGATATACTCAAATCCCTGTAATTCTAACAACAACACAAAGTTTGAATACTATTGTGCTTAGCAGTTGAATTCAATTTGTGAATGGTGTAATGATTCATTTTAAAACTGCCAGGAATTTTGACATGATTATAATCCGCTTTATCATGAACTTGTTATTTATATTACCCAGCTTCATTATCCTGCATTCCCCCCATGGTTTACTTCGACTGCTCCACTGCTCTACCCGGTACCACTGGAACCGAGTGTCAGAAGAGCTGTAGCACAATTGACATGGCCTGTGTAAGTACAGCATAATGCTCACACACTCACATAGGTCAAACGATCCTACATACAGTCCCTGTTTGGCTCACACCCTCTTTTTACCCTCCACCATGGTTGGATACAGATCAGCACAGGCTGTACATCGGGCTGCATGTGCCCTCAAGGCCTGGTGTCAGATGGAACAGGAGGCTGCATCAACGAGACCAGCTGTCCATGTCTGCACAATGGACATGTCTACCAGTCTGGACAGACACTGGTTGTGGGCTGCAACACCTGGTTTGTACAGTGCTTTAAATACACACCAGTATAACACGTACCTGCATGGAAATCTACACACTAAATATTTCTTGTGTTGGCCCACACAATGATTTCATTATTTCACCTATACAACTAATTTCAAAGATGCCGTTTTATTAAAACACAAATATTAAGATAAGAAAGAATATACATTATATATATATATATATATATAAAACAGACAAAATTGTTTAGTTAAATAAAAAAAGTGCCAAATGTCCAATACACATTTATCTGTTATGTAGAGCTGTTTTGTCTCAAGTGCAGGCACATATTTTTGTTTTTCATAACCAAACTATTTCTTCCATTTTCCTTCTTGACTGAAATGCAATTTTCGATATCATTCTCACACAGAAGTTCTATTGGTATTCTAACAAGTAATACAAATTCTACATAAGTCTTACTACTTTTTACCAGAAATTCTTTAATATTGGCCAAAACCAAAACATACTGTTTTACACACATTTTAGAATTTCAAGTAACACAAGCTCACTTTTGTAAGATAAAAAAGATTCTTGATTAAGCAGCATTTACTAGTAATTTTAAATGACACTAACTTAGTTTTGTAAGTTACGAAACATTCCTGATTACGTACTTTTTACTAGGTATTTTGTTTTCACAGTATAGATCAAATTAAGTCAGTATCACTTAAAATGATTAAACCCACAATGTTTTAGTTTTACTTAAAACATTTTTTATAAGTTTAAAAAATTGTTTTTATTAAATGAACTTATCTGATTTTACAGTGTACTGAAGGAGGTGTGGTTTCATCACATTTTGACATGACAGTAGTTACTAATAAATTCAATGATGTTGATACCTTTATACCAAGCTTTCAACCAACTAATAAATCTTTTTCTAAAAAAAACATTCCCTAAACATGTATAAAAAATGCTCTTTAATGACTTTTCTAGACATGTTTACATGATTTAAAGTGTGTGTTTGATGTGTGTCTCCCCAGCTACTGCAGTGGAAGGAAGTTCACATGTACCACCAATGTGTGTGATGAAGTTTGCGCGATCTATGGTGACGGTCACTACATCACATTTGATGATAAGCGGTTTGACTTCAGTGGACAGTGTGAATACACACTCCTACAGGTAAAGTGGCTAGAATGATTGATAAACAGTGATTAAAGTTCTAATCCTTAAAATGGTCTGGTCAATTTGGCAACATGGTGACAGCCAGTGTGGTACAACAGCAAACAGACCTCGAGCAGCTTGTTTGTCAGGAATACAATGGAAGCGCAACCCTGTTTACAGAGCAGCCAGCAGCCAAACAAATTCACAAGTGAAAATGTCAGTTGAAGATCCCCTCCAGACATGTATTACCACATAAACAAACAACAGAACAGTTAATATGTGTCTGGTAGGGGTGGGCGATATGGGCAAAAAATTATATCTCGTTATTTTTGGGGATTTTGGCGATAACGATAATCAGTCGATATCCTTTAAAATGTGATTGGAATTGTCTGAGTTAGGGCTTGTGTCCACCAAACACGTTTTTAGCACTGAGAGCGCTCAAAAACTCATTTTCCGAGCGCCCAGCGGTGTTAAAAGTTGAACAGATTTCAACTTGAACCGCTCTCGACGCTGCGCTAAAAAAGTATTTTCGAAACTAAACCATTTCCATGCCAGAGAGGTAGACCCACGTCTCGGCACTAAATCATCTGAAGTACCGGTAGCTCCAGGGACTGGAGGTGCTTGCATTTTTCTACTATCACAACGCGCTGCTAAACTGTTGCAAGGAGGATGCTAGCGAGAGGTCATGTGATCCTGTCATGTGATCACGTAGGCCCACTAGTCCTGTGACTGAATCCTGCCATGCTGTAGAGAGCCTTGCTGCACCATGTATTAAGTGGATGTGAGGAGTTTCCACATGCGTTTCAATAATTTTGGCGAAGTAATTTAAATACTCCATAATGGAAATTTGCACATCGTCAAAACAACAATGATGATATTATCGCAAACGATATATATCGCCCACCTCTAGTGTCTGATATGTTTTTTCCACAAACAAAAGTATAATTTCTACATTAAAACCCTTATCTTCTCCTTCTACCTCATTAAATGTTTCAGAAACCATGAATATGCATTGTTTTCCTGCTGGACACAAGATGTCTCCTACTTCACTGTAAAGTCCATTCTCAGTGGATGTGCATTGGTGGCTTCAAGTTTCTACATCACACTGTACAAGTTGCATACTGGACCAGGTGTGATGTCACAAATAATGCTCATAGGCCCCCGCCCCTTAAACTCAGTTTCTTTCAGCAGTTGTATATTAAAACATTCTTCTAGTGGCAAACTCTACATAGACATCATTCAAACATCACACTGTAGGGACAAGAAGAAAAACATTTTGTGTGCAGGAGAACTTTAAAAATCTGCCTTCTTCTATCAACAACCTTTATCTGATATCATGCTGCACATGGCTTGAGTGGGCACACTCATTGAAAAAATTACACTGCATTTCCTGTGGCTATTTCATAATTAAATCTACCCTTTGTTGTGCCAGTTGAACACTTAATGTGAAACACCAGCAGGAAGAAATGTTGCATTAGCCTTAGCAATAACTTCAAAAAGCTGTAATACGGCTGTAAGAGAGTGAACCATTAACAGTGAGCCAGATATCAATGAGATAAAACTGCACTGGATTCTGCATCGATTCCTGTGAGGCCCTCATGCTTAGGTGGGCAATAAGTCTTTCCAACAATCACCAACTCTGGTTTGGTCAAAATAAACCCTTAATTCACTGAGTGAGATGAGACAATTGCTGTGAAACAGTCTTTTATGGCTGCTATGCTATTGTAACATGAACTAATCCAAACAAAGTGTCTGACAACAATATTTCGGTATTCCAACAATTGACAACTCTGCTTTGGTCGAAATAAATCCTTAATTCAAAGAGGTACATGAGAGAAACAGTCTCAGTCGCTGTACAGCTGCACATGGAGCAGACTAGTTATGTAAACAAACCACAGGCTGCGATAGCAACACAGGCAGACAACACCATGACTCCATTATATCTTTATATAGAAAGTAGATGTTTGCAGCTCTACTAATGTTTTAAATATCATATAACCTTTAACAATAATGTCCAGTAATTACTTTACATTTTGTGCCTTCCTCAGGACTTCTGTGGCACCGATCAGAGCAAAGGAACCTTCAGAATTATCACTGAGAATGTCCCATGTGGAACCACTGGGACCACCTGCTCCAAGACCATCAAGATCTTCCTGGGGGTAAGCACAAGACACTTACACTGTGCACATGTTCTGTCTCAAACACTAGATCAGAATATCAAACTGAGATTGATATTAACACAGTATGGTTGGGCTACGATTATGACTCAAATGACCATCAGTAAGGCTGGAACCTATAATGCCTTATAATGCCTGTTAATTGCTAACATACTTGGAGGTGCGAGGTTCACTCTACTCTTACTTGTTCCACCTCACTTACATTGTGCCATAATAAATTGCATGTTTGTCTTATGTTGATGCAGGATAATGAATTCCAACTTAAAGATGAGAACTTCCACGTGGTAAAGGGCAGCAGCCAGGTGTTGCCTTCTCAGGTGCACAAGATGGGTATTTACCTGGTGGTGATTATCAAGCCGGGACTTGTGCTCATGTGGGACCAGAAGACCAGTCTTTTCATTAAACTCAGCCCGCTGTTCCAGGTAAACAATCAAGTCTGCATGTCTTTTTTGACAGCTGGTTTTTCACAGAGCAGAGTTATTGGTTATTTAAGCCAGTTAATTTCAGTCTGGCTTATTGTTTAGAATCTTTACAGACACATCAAGACATTTTGTTCCATTTTGTTCAATATTTTTGGTTAAGATATTGATTAACAAATACCATAGTGGCTCTGTGCAATGTAAAAAGGGTTACTCATAGTGCTGCAATCGCAAAGAATTATCAGCAACCCTACCTTTTTAGCTTTTTAGCCATTTTTAGCTTCCTTCTTTGTTTTACTGTCATCAACCCAGAAAAGGTTAGTGACTATTGTATCTAGCTTAAGAACAGCATACTTCCACAGGACCTGGTGGGGACAAAACAGGCTAAATTTGTCTGGTAATTTAAAGCATTACAGCATTCTGTCTGTTAAAACATCGGCCATTACAATTTTATAAGTCAGGACTATAATAATAATAATAACAATGTTTTCCCAGACTCTAGAGAAAATTCATCAATTCAGCCATACAAGTTACATTTCTTCTACTTGGAAATTTGGCTGAAAATGTTACACTGTTATACTGAGGTATTTTTTAGTCAGCAACTCCTTTTGTACTGGACGCTTGAATATAAGACAGGGCACAGTTGCCTTGGGTTTGGTAAATATTACACACAAGGTGTCAGTATCAAATGAAAATGCCAACCTACAGTTGTGATGTGACTGATGTATTTGTGACGACAACCACTGGGTTCCTCCCTCTCAGAGTCAAGTCTGTGGTCTGTGTGGAAACTACGACGGCAACAGTAAAAATGACTTCACCACACGCTCTCAGGAGACTGTGGCAGACGTTCTAGAATTTGGTAACAGCTGGAAGGTTTCGTCCAGCTGCCCAAACGCCGAACTCATCACCGATCCCTGTTCCTCCAACCGCTACCGGGCAGCCTGGTCCCAGAAACAGTGTAGCATCATCACCAGTGCAACCTTCCAGAGCTGTCATTCACAGGTAACTATGGTGTTAACACAATCACATAACACTATATATCACTTCAACTGCCATGGTATTTGAGAAATTGTATAAATGGCATTGTTTCTCTCCATCTTTGGCACTAAGTGCTCATTGCTGTATTTATCACTTGGGTGGTCTCCCCATTTTGGTGACCCCTGACCTTCTAGCATGTTCACACCGATAGGACAACCTATATTATTTCTACTATTGCTACCAATGACACTGCTGATACTACAACTAGCACAGGATGAGATTTTAGTTACCCTCTACCTTTCTAATTCTGCTAAACAGTACATGATTGTGTGTTCAAGGTTGATCCTGGTCCATACTTTGATTCTTGTGTGAGAGACTCTTGTGCTTGTGACACTGGTGGGGACTGTGAGTGTCTCTGCACTGCTGTGGCTGCCTATGCCAAAGCTTGTAATGAAGCTGGGGCCTGCATTAAATGGAGAACTCCAAAGATGTGCCGTAAGTTTGACCACCATCACACCAGGAAAATCTGAGTCACAGGTGGTCGTCTTTCAAGATAGCCTAGCACATAGCATATCTAAGTACAGGAAAGAATAAAGTTGAAATGGTCAATTTATTACATGACATTTAAATTTGTCATATTAAATAAAACCTGTACTTTGTAATAAGAGAAAAGAAGTAATTTTTGTGTCTCTTGCAGCTATTTTCTGTGACTACTATAATGCCCCTGATGGCTGTGAGTGGCACTACAAGCCTTGTGGAGCTGACTGCATGAAGACATGTAGGAATCCATCAGGAAACTGTTCCAACCTCATTACCGCCGTGGAAGGTACATTAGACAGATCTTATGTCAACTTCTTAACTAGAGGAATTTGTGTTTTAAGTTGACTTTGCTTCTCTGGTTATCTGTCTGTTTAGACACAGTGTAAAATGTATATTTAATGGGGTGGTTGTGGTTCAGGTGGCAGAGAGGAGTTGTCCACTTATCACGAGGTCGGTAGTCCAGCATGTTAAATGTCCCTGGGCTGAACCCTATATTATCCCAGCACCTTGCATGGTAGCTCACTGCTATCGGTGTGTGAATGTATGTGAATGGGTAAGGTTGTATTTCTTTATTTTTTGTATTTCTACTGAGGTGAATCAAAATGTTTAATGGTGTTGCAGGCTGCTATCCACAGTGTCCCCCAACCAAGCCCTACTTTAATGAAGACACCATGAAGTGCGTTGCCCGGAACCAATGTGGCTGCTATGATGACAAAGGCACGCATTACGGCATCGGGGATAAGGCTCCATCGGACAACTGTTACTCTTGGTATGTCTTATACAGACAATTCATTTTTACACGAAGGGATTAACACACAATAGGCAATGATGCATTTACCACATTTGGACATGCAAAGCACGAGCCATAGAGCCATAATAGCCACATTAATGCTAAATATTAAATTTTATCTAACGAGAACAAATACTTTAAACATGACATTTCAATTTAACCATTACCAAACCCGCAACCCTACCCCCCAGAATCTTTATTAATGATGATTACATTTCTTTTAAATGTATGTCTATTAACCTCAACACTAAATGTTACATATTTTCATGACAGTCCCACACTTCTCACACCTGTGAGAATCAAAAGTCTATTGGTAACACAGATCACAAGTGGGATTGGAAAGCACCTTCATATTGTATCTCAAAATAGGGGACCCATATATGTTTATAAATCTTCTAAAGTACGGTGGCCCTCAGAGCTCAACAGACTCTGACTTAAGAGAAAAGATGCAAATGGGCAAAACACACCAAATTCAGAAACCGTCTCAAAAAAAGTGACATCCTTTGCGCAGTATTTAGCACAGAAAATATGAAAAACAACAAAATATGTAAGATGCTGCAAATATGGAAAACATTTTGAGATTTGCTTTACATCTTGAAATATAGTTGTGGTTTCTGATGGAATTAGCCAAATGGCTGTTAGTAAAATATTTTTTTTATTGAAAACATCTACAATGAATAACATGCAAGATGGCAATGACATGACCATAATTTCCTTCTATTTCAAAGCTCCTGTACAATCTCAGGAATAGAATGCAGCTACAACGTGAACAGTAAGTACACATATATACCGACTGAGTGTATATTTTCTATTTATTTATTTACCTATTTATGTGAGTACAAACAAACTTGTTTATAGTAAAAACAAATATATGTATGTATGTAAAAAACTATCCAATATACTGTAAAAAACTATCCAATATACTATATATCTATATATATGTGTATGATTAAAAGATGATACTCTTCATCTCCAGCTTGCACATGCTTCGTTAACGGAAAGACCTACGAGTATGGTGAATCCATTTACAACACAACAGATGGTCTGGGAAGTTGCATCACAGCTGAGTGTGGGGCCAATGGGACCGTAATCAGGACCACGTACCCATGCGTAACTACAACCACCCTTGGCCCTACAACAACCCCGTTTACATTCAGCACAGTTGGAAAAACCACTTCAGGTACGTAATGGTGAAAGCAACAACTTATAACACTTATTTTGTAACAAACAGCAATGTATAAAAAGAAAAAAAGAAACATTACTTTTTGCATTGCTCACATAGTATATTTTTTGTCACATCCAAACCTCTAGAACCAACAACATTGCCAACAACAACAGAAAGGATTGAGACAACAACATCACAGGAAGTCACAACTAGTCCAGTAACGATTTCTACCACATCTGTTGAAACAACAACCTCAAGGCTAAGTGTCACAACAAGCCCACAAATAACATTTGTAACATCAAAACCATTTGTTACTGGTACGACCACGACAGTACCTCTGACAACAACAACTAAAGGGACAACAGAAAAACCTGTGGAAACCACCACATCAGAAGAGACAACTGTAACGATTTCAACAACAAAACCACCTACAGTAGTCACCACTGGCCCACTTACAACCTCTACAACAGTTGTTGTTGAAACTACGACCCCAGTGCCAGTAATCACAACGACAGGTCCAGAAACAACCGTTGTAACATCAGCACCATCTGTAAGTACCACAACAACTAAAGTACAACCAACAACAACTAAGGGAACAACAGCAAAACCTGTGGAAACCACCACATCAGAAGAGACAACTGTAACGATTTCAACAACAAAACCACCTACAGTAGTCACCACTGGCCCAGTTACGACCTCTACAACAGTTGTTGTTGAAACTACGACCCCAGTGCCAGTAATCACAACGACAGGCCCAGAAACAACTGTTGTAACATCAGCACCATCTGTAAGTACCACAACAACTAAAGTACAACCAACAACAACTGAGGGGACAACAGCAAAACCTGTGGAAACCACCACATCAGAAGAGACAACTGTAACGAGTTCAACAACAAAACCACCTACAGTAGTCACCACTGGCCCAGTTACGACCTCTACAACAGTTGTTGTTGAAACTACGACCCCAGTGCCAGTAATCACAACGACAGGCCCAGAAACAACTGTTGTAACATCTGCACCATCTGTAAGTACCACAACAACGAAAGTACAACCAACAACAACTAAGGAGACTACAGCAAAACCTGTGGAAACCACCACATCAGAAGAGACATCTGTAACAATTTCCACAACAAAACCACCTACAGTAGTCACCACTGGCCCAGTTACAACTTCTACAACAGTTGTTGTTGAAACTACGACCCCAGTGCCAGTAATCACAACGACAGGCCCAGAAACAACCGTTGTAATATCTGCACCATCTGTAAGTACCACAACAACGAAAGTACAACCAACAACAACTAAGGGGACTACAGCAAAACCTGTGGAAACCACCACATCAGAAGAGACAACAGTAACGATTTCAACAACAAAACCACCTACAGTAGTCACCACTGGCCCACTTACAACCTCTACAACAGTTGTTGTTGAAACTACGACCCCAGTGCCAGTAATCACAACGACAGGTCCAGAAACAACCGTTGTAACATCAGCACCATCTGTAAGTACCACAACAACTAAAGTACAACCAACAACAACTAAGGGAACAACAGCAAAACCTGTAGAAACCACCACATCAGAAGAGACAACTGTAACGATTTCAACAACAAAACCACCTACAGTAGTCACCACTGGCCCAGTTACAACCTCTACAACAGTTGTTGTTGAAACTACGACCCCAGTGCCAGTAATCACAACGACAGGCCCAGAAACAACTGTTGTAACATCAGCACCATCTGTAAGTACCACAACAACTAAAGTACAACCAACAACAACTAAGGGGACAACAGCAAAACCTGTGGAAACCACCACATCAGAAGAGACAACCGTAACGATTTCAACAACAAAACCACCTACAGTAGTCACCACTGGCCCAGTTACGACCTCTACAACAGTTGTTGTTGAAACTACGACCCCAGTGCCAGTAATCACAACGACAGGTCCAGAAACAACCGTTGTAACATCAGCACCATCTGTAAGTACCACAACAACTAAAGTACAACCAACAACAACTAAGGGGACAACAGCAAAACCTGTGGAAACCACCACATCAGAAGAGACAACTGTAACGATTTCAACAACAAAACCACCTACAGTAGTCACCACTGGCCCAGTTACGACCTCTACAACAGTTGTTGTTGAAACTACGACCCCAGTGCCAGTAATCACAACGACAGGCCCAGAAACAACTGTTGTAACATCAGCACCATCTGTAAGTACCACAACAACTAAAGTACAACCAACAACAACTAAGGGGACAACAGCAAAACCTGTGGAAACCACCACATCAGAAGAGACAACCGTAACGATTTCAACAACAAAACCACCTACAGTAGTCACCACTGGCCCAGTTACGACCTCTACAACAGTTGTTGTTGAAACTACGACCCCAGTGCCAGTAATCACAACGACAGGTCCAGAAACAACCGTTGTAACATCAGCACCATCTATAAGTACCACAACAACTAAAGTACAACCAACAACAACTAAGGGGACAACAGCAAAACCTGTGGAAACCACCACATCAGAAGAGACAACTGTAACGATTTCAACAACAAAACCACCTACAGTAGTCACCACTGGCCCAGTTACGACCTCTACAACAGTTGTTGTTGAAACTACGACCCCAGTGCCAGTAATCACAACGACAGGCCCAGAAACAACCGTTGTAACATCTGCACCATCTGTAAGTACCACAACAACGAAAGTACAACCAACAACAACTAAGGAGACTACAGCAAAACCTGTGGAAACCACCACATCAGAAGAGACAACAGTAACGATTTCAACAACAAAACCACCTACAGTAGTCACCACTGGCCCACTTACAACCTCTACAACAGTTGTTGTTGAAACTACGACCCCAGTGCCAGTAATCACAACGACAGGTCCAGAAACAACCGTTGTAACATCAGCACCATCTGTAAGTACCACAACAACTAAAGTACAACCAACAACAACTAAGGGGACAACAGCAAAACCTGTGGAAACCACCACATCAGAAGAGACAACTGTAACGATTTCAACAACAAAACCACCTACAGTAGTCACCACTGGCCCAGTTACGACCTCTACAACAGTTGTTGTTGAAACTACGACCCCAGTGCCAGTAATCACAACGACAGGCCCAGAAACAACTGTTGTAACATCAGCACCATCTGTAAGTACCACAACAACTAAAGTACAACCAACAACAACTAAGGGGACAACAGCAAAACCTGTGGAAACCACCACATCAGAAGAGACAACCGTAACGATTTCAACAACAAAACCACCTACAGTAGTCACCACTGGCCCAGTTACGACCTCTACAACAGTTGTTGTTGAAACTACGACCCCAGTGCCAGTAATCACAACGACAGGTCCAGAAACAACCGTTGTAACATCAGCACCATCTGTAAGTACCACAACAACTAAAGTACAACCAACAACAACTAAGGAGACTACAGCAAAACCTGTGGAAACCACCACATCAGAAGAGACAACTGTAACAATTTCCACAACAAAACCACCTACAGTAGTCACCACTGGCCCAGTTACAACTTCTACAACAGTTGTTGTTGAAACTACGACCCCAGTGCCAGTAATCACAACGACAGGCCCAGAAACAACCGTTGTAACATCAGCACCATCTGTAAGTACCACAACTACTAAAGTACAACCAACAACAACTAAGGGGACAACAGCAAAACCTGTGGAAACCACCACATCAGAAGAGACAACTGTGACGATTTCAACAACAAAACCACCTACAGTAGTCACCACTGGCCCAGTTACGACCTCTACAACCGCTGTTGTTGAAACTACAACCCCAGTGCCAGTAGTCACAACGACAGGCCCAGAAACAACCGTTGTAACATCTGCACCATCTGTAAGTACCACAACAACGAAAGTACAACCAACAACAACTAAGGGGACTACAGCAAAACCTGTGGAAACCACCACATCAGAAGAGACAACAGTAACGATTTCAACAACAAAACCACCTACAGTAGTCACCACTGGCCCACTTACAACCTCTACAACAGTTGTTGTTGAAACTACGACCCCAGTGCCAGTAATCACAACGACAGGTCAAGAAACAACCGTTGTAACATCAGCACCATCTGTAAGTACCACAACAACTAAAGTACAACCAACAACAACTAAGGGAACAACAGCAAAACCTGTGGAAACCACCACATCAGAAGAGACAACCGTAACGATTTCAACAACAAAACCACCTACAGTAGTCACCACTGGCCCAGTTACGACCTCTACAACAGTTGTTGTTGAAACTACGACCCCAGTGCCAGTAATCACAACGACAGGCCCAGAAACAACTGTTGTAACATCAGCACCATCTGTAAGTACCACAACAACTAAAGTACAATCAACAACAACTAAGGGGACAACAGCAAAACCTGTGGAAACCACCACATCAGAAGAGACAACCGTAACGATTTCAACAACAAAACCACCTACAGTAGTCACCACTGGCCCAGTTACGACCTCTACAACAGTTGTTGTTGAAACTACGACCCCAGTGCCAGTAATCACAACGACAGGTCCAGAAACAACCGTTGTAACATCAGCACCATCTGTAAGTACCACAACAACTAAAGTACAACCAACAACAACTAAGGGGACAACAGCAAAACCTGTGGAAACCACCACATCAGAAGAGACAACTGTAACGATTTCAACAACAAAACCACCTACAGTAGTCACCACTGGCCCAGTTACGACCTCTACAACAGTTGTTGTTGAAACTACGACCCCAGTGCCAGTAATCACAACGACAGGCCCAGAAACAACTGTTGTAACATCAGCACCATCTGTAAGTACCACAACAACTAAAGTACAACCAACAACAACTAAGGGGACAACAGCAAAACCTGTGGAAACCACCACATCAGAAGAGACAACCGTAACGATTTCAACAACAAAACCACCTACAGTAGTCACCACTGGCCCAGTTACGACCTCTACAACAGTTGTTGTTGAAACTACGACCCCAGTGCCAGTAATCACAACGACAGGTCCAGAAACAACCGTTGTAACATCAGCACCATCTGTAAGTACCACAACAACTAAAGTACAACCAACAACAACTAAGGGGACAACAGCAAAACCTGTGGAAACCACCACATCAGAAGAGACAACTGTAACGATTTCAACAACAAAACCACCTACAGTAGTCACCACTGGCCCAGTTACGACCTCTACAACAGTTGTTGTTGAAACTACGACCCCAGTGCCAGTAATCACAACGACAGGTCCAGAAACAACCGTTGTAACATCAGCACCATCTGTAAGTACCACAACAACTAAAGTACAACCAACAACAACTAAGGGGACAACAGCAAAACCTGTGGAAACCACCACATCAGAAGAGACAACTGTAACGATTTCAACAACAAAACCACCTACAGTAGTCACCACTGGCCCAGTTACGACCTCTACAACAGTTGTTGTTGAAACTACGACCCCAGTGCCAGTAATCACAACGACAGGCCCAGAAACAACCGTTGTAACATCTGCACCATCTGTAAGTACCACAACAACGAAAGTACAACCAACAACAACTAAGGAGACTACAGCAAAACCTGTGGAAACCACCACATCAGAAGAGACAACAGTAACGATTTCAACAACAAAACCACCTACAGTAGTCACCACTGGCCCACTTACAACCTCTACAACAGTTGTTGTTGAAACTACGACCCCAGTGCCAGTAATCACAACGACAGGTCCAGAAACAACCGTTGTAACATCAGCACCATCTGTAAGTACCACAACAACTAAAGTACAACCAACAACAACTAAGGGAACAACAGCAAAACCTGTGGAAACCACCACATCAGAAGAGACAACTGTAACGATTTCAACAACAAAACCACCTACAGTAGTCACCACTGGCCCAGTTACGACCTCTACAACAGTTGTTGTTGAAACTACGACCCCAGTGCCAGTAATCACAACGACAGGCCCAGAAACAACTGTTGTAACATCAGCACCATCTGTAAGTACCACAACAACTAAAGTACAACCAACAACAACTAAGGGGACAACAGCAAAACCTGTGGAAACCACCACATCAGAAGAGACAACCGTAACGATTTCAACAACAAAACCACCTACAGTAGTCACCACTGGCCCAGTTACAACCTCTACAACAGTTGTTGTTGAAACTACGACCCCAGTGCCAGTAATCACAACGACAGGTCCAGAAACAACCGTTGTAACATCAGCACCATCTGTAAGTACCACAACAACTAAAGTACAACCAACAACAACTAAGGGGACAACAGCAAAACCTGTGGAAACCACCACATCAGAAGAGACAACTGTAACGATTTCAACAACAAAACCACCTACAGTAGTCACCACTGGCCCAGTTACGACCTCTACAACAGTTGTTGTTGAAACTACGACCCCAGTGCCAGTAATCACAACGACAGGCCCAGAAACAACCGTTGTAACATCTGCACCATCTGTAAGTACCACAACAACGAAAGTACAACCAACAACAACTAAGGAGACTACAGCAAAACCTGTGGAAACCACCACATCAGAAGAGACAACAGTAACAATTTCCACAACAAAACCACCTACAGTAGTCACCACTGGCCCAGTCACAACTTCTACAACAGTTGTTGTTGAAACTACGACCCCAGTGCCAGTAATCACAACGACAGGCCCAGAAACAACCGTTGTAACATCTGCACCATCTGTAAGTACCACAACAACGAAAGTACAACCAACAACAACTAAGGGAACTACAGCAAAACCTGTGGAAACCACCACATCAGAAGAGACAACAGTAACGATTTCAACAACAAAACCACCTACAGTAGTCACCACTGGCCCACTTACAACCTCTACAACAGTTGTTGTTGAAACTACGACCCCAGTGCCAGTAATCACAACGACAGGTCCAGAAACAACCGTTGTAACATCAGCACCATCTGTAAGTACCACAACAACTAAAGTACAACCAACAACAACTAAGGGAACAACAGCAAAACCTGTGGAAACCACCACATCAGAAGAGACAACTGTAACGATTTCAACAACAAAACCACCTACAGTAGTCACCACTGGCCCAGTTACGACCTCTACAACAGTTGTTGTTGAAACTACGACCCCAGTGCCAGTAATCACAACGACAGCCCCAGAAACAACTGTTGTAACATCAGCACCATCTGTAAGTACCACAACAACTAAAGTACAACCAACAACAACTAAGGGGACAACAGCAAAACCTGTGGAAACCACCACATCAGAAGAGACAACCGTAACGATTTCAACAACAAAACCACCTACAGTAGTCACCACTGGCCCAGTTACGACCTCTACAACAGTTGTTGTTGAAACTACGACCCCAGTGCCAGTAATCACAACGACAGGTCCAGAAACAACCGTTGTAACATCAGCACCATCTGTAAGTACCACAACAACTAAAGTTCAACCAACAACAACTAAGGGGACAACAGCAAAACCTGTGGAAACCACCACATCAGAAGAGACAACTGTAACGATTTCAACAACAAAACCACCTACAGTAGTCACCACTGGCCCAGTTACGACCTCTACAACAGTTGTTGTTGAAACTACGACCCCAGTGCCAGTAATCACAACGACAGGCCCAGAAACAACCGTTGTAACATCTGCACCATCTGTAAGTACCACAACAACGAAAGTACAACCAACAACAACTAAGGAGACTACAGCAAAACCTGTGGAAACCACCACATCAGAAGAGACAACTGTAACAATTTCCACAACAAAACCACCTACAGTAGTCACCACTGGCCCAGTTACAACTTCTACAACAGTTGTTGTTGAAACTACGACCCCAGTGCCAGTAATCACAACGACAGGCCCAGAAACAACCGTTGTAACATCTGCACCATCTGTAAGTACCACAACAACGAAAGTACAACCAACAACAACTAAGGGGACTACAGCAAAACCTGTGGAAACCACCACATCAGAAGAGACAACAGTAACGATTTCAACAACAAAACCACCTACAGTAGTCACCACTGGCCCACTTACAACCTCTACAACAGTTGTTGTTGAAACTACGACCCCAGTGCCAGTAATCACAACGACAGGTCCAGAAACAACCGTTGTAACATCAGCACCATCTGTAAGTACCACAACAACTAAAGTACAACCAACAACAACTAAAGTACAACCAACAACAACTAAGGGAACAACAGCAAAACCTGTGGAAACCACCACATCAGAAGAGACAACTGTAACGATTTCAACAACAAAACCACCTACAGTAGTCACCACTGGCCCAGTTACGACCTCTACAACAGTTGTTGTTGAAACTACGACCCCAGTGCCAGTAATCACAACGACAGGTCCAGAAACAACCGTTGTAACATCAGCACCATCTGTAAGTACTACAACAACTAAAGTACAACCAACAACAACTAAGGGGACAACAGCAAAACCTGTGGAAACCACCACATCAGAAGAGACAACTGTAACGATTTCAACAACAAAACCACCTACAGTAGTCACCACTGGCCCAGTTACGACCTCTACAACAGTTGTTGTTGAAACTACGACCCCAGTGCCAGTAATCACAACGACAGGCCCAGAAACAACCGTTGTAACATCTGCACCATCTGTAAGTACCACAACAACGAAAGTACAACCAACAACAACTAAGGGGACTACAGCAAAACCTGTGGAAACCACCACATCAGAAGAGACAACTGTAACGATTTCCACAACAAAACCACCTACAGTAGTCACCACTGGCCCAGTTACGACCTCTACAACAGTTGTTGTTGAAACTACGACCCCAGTGCCAGTAATCACAACGACAGGTCCAGAAACAACCGTTGTAACATCAGCACCATCTGTAAGTACCACAACAACTAAAGTACAACCAACAACAACTAAGGGAACAACAGCAAAACCTGTGGAAACCACCACATCAGAAGAGACAACTGTAACGATTTCAACAACAAAACCACCTACAGTAGTCACCACTGGCCCAGTTACGACCTCTACAACAGTTGTTGTTGAAACTACGACCCCAGTGCCAGTAATCACAACGACAGGCCCAGAAACAACTGTTGTAACATCAGCACCATCTGTAAGTACCACAACAACTAAAGTACAACCAACAACAACTAAGGGGACAACAGCAAAACCTGTGGAAACCACCACATCAGAAGAGACAACCGTAACGATTTCAACAACAAAACCACCTACAGTAGTCACCACTGGCCCAGTTACGACCTCTACAACAGTTGTTGTTGAAACTACGACCCCAGTGCCAGTAATCACAACGACAGGCCCAGAAACAACTGTTGTAACATCAGCACCATCTGTAAGTACCACAACAACTAAAGTACAACCAACAACAACTAAGGGAACAACAGCAAAACCTGTGGAAACCACCACATCAGAAGAGACAACTGTAACGATTTCAACAACAAAACCACCTACAGTAGTCACCACTGGCCCAGTTACGACCTCTACAACAGTTGTTGTTGAAACTACGACCCCAGTGCCAGTAATCACAACGACAGGCCCAGAAACAACTGTTGTAACATCAGCACCATCTGTAAGTACCACAACAACTAAAGTAAAACCAACAACAACTAAGGGGACAACAGCAAAACCTGTGGAAACCACCACATCAGAAGAGACAACCGTAACGATTTCAACAACAAAACCACCTACAGTAGTCACCACTGGCCCAGTTACGACCTCTACAACAGTTGTTGTTGAAACTACAACCCCAGTGCCAGTAGTCACAACGACAGGCCCAGAAACAACCGTTGTAACATCAGCACCATCTGTAAGTACCACAACTACTAAAGTACAACCAACAACAACTAAGGGGACAACAGCAAAACCTGTGGAAACCACCACATCAGAAGAGACAACTGTAACGATTTCCACAACAAAACCACCTACAGTAGTCACCACTGGCCCAGTTACGACCTCTACAACAGTTGTTGTTGAAACTACGACCCCAGTGCCAGTAATCACAACGACAGGTCCAGAAACAACCGTTGTAACATCAGCACCATCTGTAAGTACCACAACAACTAAAGTACAACCAACAACAACTAAGGGAACAACAGCAAAACCTGTGGAAACCACCACATCAGAAGAGACAACTGTAACGATTTCAACAACAAAACCACCTACAGTAGTCACCACTGGCCCAGTTACGACCTCTACAACAGTTGTTGTTGAAACTACGACCCCAGTGCCAGTAATCACAACGACAGGCCCAGAAACAACTGTTGTAACATCAGCACCATCTGTAAGTACCACAACTACTAAAGTACAACCAACAACAACTAAGGGAACAACAGCAAAACCTGTGGAAACCACCACATCAGAAGAGACAACTGTAACGATTTCAACAACAAAACCACCTACAGTAGTCACCACTGGCCCAGTTACGACCTCTACAACAGTTGTTGTTGAAACTACAACCCCAGTGCCAGTAATCACAACGACAGGCCCAGAAACAACTGTTGTAACATCAGCACCATCTGTAAGTACCACAACAACTAAAGTACAACCAACAACAACTAAGGGGACAACAGCAAAACCTGTGGAAACCACCACATCAGAAGAGACAACTGTGACGATTTCAACAACAAAACCACCTACAGTAGTCACCACTGGCCCAGTTACGACCTCTACAACAGTTGTTGTTGAAACTACGACCCCAGTGCCAGTAATCACAACGACAGGTCCAGAAACAACCGTTGTAACATCAGCACCATCTGTAAGTACCACAACAACTAAAGTACAACCAACAACAACTAAGGGGACTACAGCAAAACCTGTGGAAACCACCACATCAGAAGAGACAACTGTAACGATTTCAACAACAAAACCACCTACAGTAGTCACCACTGGCCCAGTTACGACCTCTACAACAGTTGTTGTTGAAACTACGACCCCAGTGCCAGTAATCACAACGACAGGCCCAGAAACAACCGTTGTAACATCTGCACCATCTGTAAGTACCACAACAACGAAAGTACAACCAACAACAACTAAGGGAACTACAGCAAAACCTGTGGAAACCACCACATCAGAAGAGACAACAGTAACGATTTCAACAACAAAACCACCTACAGTAGTCACCACTGGCCCACTTACAACCTCTACAACAGTTGTTGTTGAAACTACGACCCCAGTGCCAGTAATCACAACGACAGGCCCAGAAACAACCGTTGTAACATCTGCACCATCTGTAAGTACCACAACAACTAAAGTACAACCAACAACAACTAAGGGGACTACAGCAAAACCTGTGGAAACCACCACATCAGAAGAGACAACTGTAACGATTTCCACAACAAAACCACCTACAGTAGTCACCACTGGCCCAGTTACGACCTCTACAACAGTTGTTGAAACTACGACCCCAGTGCCAGTAATCACAACGACAGGCCCAGAAACAACCGTTGTAACATCAGCACCATCTGTAAGTACCACAACTACTAAAGTACAACCAACAACAACTAAGGGGACTACAGCAAAACCTGTGGAAACCACCACATCAGAAGAGACAACTGTAACGATTTCAACAACAAAACCACCTACAGTAGTCACCACTGGCCCAGTTACAACCTCTACAACCGCTGTTGTTGAAACTACAACCCCAGTGCCAGTAGTCACAACGACAGGCCCAGAAACAACCGTTGTAACATCAGCACCATCTGTAAGTACCACAACTACTAAAGTACAACCAACAACAACTAAGGGGACAACAGCAAAACCTGTGGAAACCACCACATCAGAAGAGACAACTGTAACGATTTCCACAACAAAACCACCTACAGTAGTCACCACTGGCCCAGTTACGACCTCTACAACAGTTGTTGTTGAAACTACGACCCCAGTGCCAGTAATCACAACGACAGGTCTAGAAACAACCGTTATAACATCAGCACCATCTGTAAGTACTACGACAACTAAAGTACAACCAACAACAACTAAGGGAACAACAGCAAAACCTGTGGAAACCACCACATCAGAAGAGACAACTGTAACGATTTCAACAACAAAACCACCTACAGTAGTCACCACTGGCCCAGTTACGACCTCTACAACAGTTGTTGTTGAAACTACGACCCCAGTGCCAGTAATCACAACGACAGGCCCAGAAACAACCGTTGTAACATCAGCACCATCTGTAAGTACCACAACTACTAAAGTACAACCAACAACAACTAAGGGGACAACAGCAAAACCTGTGGAAACCACCACATCAGAAGAGACAACTGTAACGATTTCAACAACAAAACCACCTACAGTAGTCACCACTGGCCCAGTTACAACCTCTACAACAGTTGTTGTTGAAAGTACAACCCCAGTGCCAGTAATCACAACGACAAGTACCAAAACAACAGTTGAAATTGCCACAGGAAAGCCACTAACCACTATAACTCCAAATATAAATTCTGTTGTGACTTTGACTACAAGAACAACAGGCACTGCTAAGACTTCTATTGGCCCAACAACACAGACACTTCCAGGCAGCACAACTGTTTACACAACTGGTGTAACCAATACCGGACCAGTCACAACTACTAAAGTACAACCAACAACAACTAAGGGGACTACAGCAAAACCTGTGGAAACCACCACATCAGAAGAGACAACAGTAACAATTTCAACAACAAAACCACCTACAGTAGTCACCACTGGCCCAGTTACGACCTCTACAACAGTTGTTGTTGAAACTACGACCCCAGTGCCAGTAATCACAACGACAGGCCCAGAAACAACCGTTGTAACATCAGCACCATCTGTAAGTACCACAACTACTAAAGTACAACCAACAACAACTAAGGGGACTACAGCCAAACCTGTGGAAACCACCACATCAGAAGAGACAACAGTAACAATTTCAACAACAAAATCACCTACAGTAGTCACCACTGGCCCAGTTACAACCTCTACAACAGTTGTTGTTGAAACTACGACCCCAGTGCCAGTAGTCACAACGACAGGCCCAGAAACAACCGTTGTAACATCAGCACCATCTGTAAGTACCACAACTACTAAAGTACAACCAACAACAACTAAGGGAACAACAGCAAAACCTGTGGAAACCACCACATCAGAAGAGACAACTGTAACGATTTCAACAACAAAACCACCTACAGTAGTCACCACTGGCCCAGTTACAACCTTTACTTTGACCACAGGAACAACAGGTACTGCTACGACTTCTATTGGCCCCATAACACAGACACTTCCAGGCAGCACAACTGTTTACACAACTGGTGTAACCACTACCGGACCAGTCAGAACCACAGTTGTTCCCACAGTGTCACTGTTTACCACAACTTCATCCGTGTGCCTCTGTACAGTTAATCAAACATCACATCGTCCTGGTAGGTGATTCTCCATTTTCGGTTTGTTTCTTGTATTATGTGTTCAGCCTTATTTGAATCTTTAAGCATTATACAGTACATATGTATGTATACAGTAGTTTATTTAGTAAGTGTATCCCTTTACAATACAACAAAGTGCTAATTGTCTTTTAACTTGCTGTAAAAGAAATTACCTGTTGGGATTTTAAATTACACGTTATAGTTGTATTCATGGTATGCTTTATGTTATACATTAACTTAGAGCCCTTGTCCTAAAAAAAAAATCTATCTGAACCAACCTTTACAGGCAAGCATTGCAACAAACTGAGGTTTTCAATAACTTTGAGTTTATCTTTACTTTGGTACTACTTATCTTTGCGTCAGGCTGAGCTCACTCCTGACCTAAAGCAGGATAACAAAAATTCTCTTTTGATTTGTCAGTGTTTCAGTTGTTTTGTTTATCACAAAAATCTTAGTTTTGTCTTTTTTCTCCTCTGTAGATTGATTGATCAGTCCTTAATGTCTTTGGTCTGTTAATGTGTTTCTCTAAAAATGAATTCACCGACAATATTTATAAAGGGGATAGAAATTTACCAGACTTGACTTAGTTCCCTCACATAAGCTAGGAGATGACTTTACATACCAAATGATCCTGGTTGAGTTTGTCAGGTTAATTCAATGTAGACTTTTTGACAATAAGCCCTGCGTTTCTGAGCCACATTTCTGAAACTAAGCCCCTTGCCTTTTTTTTTTAAACACAGGGTTACTTTCTATGTATGAACACACCAAGTCTCTCTCTTGTTAAATACTTTTGTTATTGAATTAGCAATCCTTTGATTTTGTGCACTAAACGTCTGTCTCCACTCTGATTTTTACAGGGGATATGGTGTACAATGTCACTGATGGTTTAGGGTGGTGTTACGTTGCATATTGCAATGCATCTTGTAAAGTTGAGGTACACTCCAGTCCATGTCCCACAACACCGATACCCAGCACAACAACAAGTTCTACCACTGCGGTGTTCAGCACCACTACAAAGCCTAAAGTTTCAACCTCAGTTCCTCCTGTCACACCTATTTCTACATCTACTTCCACATCAACAACCCCAACTACAACTACCCTGGACTGCAGTGACGTGAATCCACCAAGGAAGGTTTGATATAAACCTTTTTTCATGACTGTTTTCTTTAAGCATTGTATTTGACAAGTAGCTGCTTTGTGTCCCATAGCTGTGGAGAGTTTCTGTCTCTTTAGACTGTATGGGCCCTATTTTGGTGTAGGACCACAGCTCTGCACCCATGAACAGCCATTTTCTTGAGGAGAGGGTGCTGCAATGCCAAACCAGTGGCATACAGCAATCTTGGTTCACATCAAACTTATCATTATGATTAATTATTCTGTACAGTTTTTAATTCAAAACCTTCTGCTGGTGTCTCTATCCAAAACACAAATATCATAGTCTCAATCATCGTCTCATCTGTTCTTGGCAGTATATTTGAGCTGCCGTCTTCTTATTCGAAACTCTGAAAATGCAAACTGTCAACATGCAACATCCTCTGTTTTTAAAGGGGATCAAAGTAAAGAATGTGATGGCCATGATTGTCACAGCCTTTAACCCACCTGTAATGTAAAATAATGTATTATTTCTAGTCCTGTCCTGTATCCAAGTGCACCACAGCCTGGCCACAAAAATACCAAATGTGTAATAGAGCGCGGCATTTAAAAAATCAGTTGAATTATACTGTATTGTTTCACACACCCTTTGTTTCTGGTATGACTTTTTGCTTCTCAACCCCCATCCAGAATGGAGAATCCTGGAAGACGGACAACTGCACCACTGCGACTTGCACCAATGGCATTGTCACAACGAAATCTTGTCCCACAGTACAGCAACCCATCTGTGCCAATGGACGCAAAGTTGTCAAGGTCTACGATGATGACGGATGTTGCTTCCACTATGACTGTCAATGTAAGTTGAAAATGTAACCTTTGAACACAGTTTTTTACTATTGATTTTTATACGCAGCAGATCTTGTCAGTGTGTGAAAATGTGCACTGTGGTTTTCATTTCAGCTGTGGATTTACTAAGTGTAATATTGTAATCTTTAGCCTATATCTAATTAATTATACTTTAGGAGGCAATAAACACATTCATGGGATATTACATCGGATTAAGTTCAAATTCAATTAAGTTTGATGAACACAAACAAAAATTCCCCATCCTCTATTCCTTTGCGTTACAGTAATCAGTAATTGTGTCAATTAATTATAGCCTAGTTGCTTAATTGTTTTCTTTCCAACAAATCTTTTGTGATAAAAAATATTTTATGCACGGTTCCTTTCATCTCCAATCTTCCTTGCGCTATGTGAGGCCACATCCTCAGAGGCAAAGAACTTTCCCCACCAAACTGATGGTTGCAAATTGTGTGACTTTAGTAAATTCAGAAGAATATTCAGCCTCTGTTAACAACTCTCCTATTATTCATGCATGTGTGTGCAATGAGGAGAGAGGCGCCCCTTTGATAAACACAGTTAAGAGTGTATACCACTGCCAGTAAAGTACATCCTTGTTCTCAATGTAAATGTGTTATTGTAATACTAGAACATTCTTAATGTGCACTTGGACCCAGATCTGTATTTATATTGCAGTTATGTGAAATTCTGTCATGTTTTGCTGATGCCTTCATGATATAATAGCTGTTTCTGTCAAAAAGGACAAAAAACATAAACTGCAAGTTTTGTAATGATTGGAAAAGATCTAATTTATATTCTGATTTGTTTTAAACCAGTTCTATTGTTTTGTATTTGTGGCTCTTCCTAGTGGCCGATTTGACCACTTCTTTTAAGTACTTATACACAGGTACACAGGTACTTAAATATTTTGTGAGTTTTGATGATACATGTTAGATTTGGTAGCAGTCAGACCTACGTTTTAGGAGGAGATGTCAAAAATTTGTTTTTCAAAAGGAATATCAGACTTTAGTGATCCAAGAGCCTTTTTTATAGAGCATTGAACTGGACTTGTGTGTCCAACAAAACATGCAGGGCTTGAACAATTAATTACAGGAAAATAGAGTAAAATATTATTAAATATTAGCCAATGGTCACATGGTAGTGCTAATGAATCCCGATACACATCAAAAGTTACTTATTTAGTTCTTGAGGCATCCCCTGACTATCCACTAAATTACGTCAAAATTGCTTCAACAAGCAACTAAGCTCTACAGCTGTTCTGTAGTAGATACTAACTGCTAATAAACAAACATAGCCTTCTTGGTGGAAGTTATAATGTTTTCTGTTTGTTCCTGTTCTCATTGTGTCCATACATGGTTCTTCTTATCCCACAGGTGTGTGCAGTGGAATCGATGGATCACACTACATAACATTTGATGGAAAAACATACAGTTTCAGCAAGAACTGCTCTTACTACCTGGTCAAAGAGATTATTACTAAATACAACCTGACTATCATAGTAAACAAACATGACTGTGATTCTTTAGGCACATTCTGCCCCCAGGCCCTCATTGTCACATACAAATCCTACAAGATAGTTCTGACTCAGTTGATGATTTCGGGAAATGCAACTAATGTGGTAAGTAACAATTGAAATTGTTAAAGACACTTGTTTTAGTGTCAGTGTCTCACTTCATTAATTATCTTAATCTGTTAATCAAAGTTGTGTGATGCATGGTATGGTTGGAGTTATAAATGCTCCCCTGCTTGGTTCAGTGTTCTCTAATGTGTCCTTGTCCTACAGGTATATGTGAATCAAAACCGCATCTATCCCGCCTACAGCAATTCTGACCTGAGCCTCACCAGCACAGATATGTTGATCAGATTGGAGATACCAGAGATCAGTACTACAGTGGTCTATAGGGGCACCTCATTCAGCATTGACCTTCCTAACTCCCTCTTTGGTGGGAACACTGAGGGACAGTGTGGTGAGTTACCAGACCACTTAACCCCTGATCCTTACCTTAACCCTATTCAGTGACCCTTAGTAGACCCAATCATGGGGTGAAAGAAGCATTTCAAATCCAGTAATACTGTCACTGCCAGCCTGCAGTAAGGACAGACACATTTACTTGTACAAGTTTTCCAAGTTTGATTAATCAACCTTTCCTTAACTGCATTTGTTGTAAATTGCTTGTTTGAGAGCGTGGCAGGGAAACTGCACACACACACACACACACACACACACACACACACACACACACACACACACACACACACACACACACACACACACACACACACACACACACACACACACACACACACACACACACACACACACACACACACACACACACACACACACACACACACACAGAAAGAGACAAACCAGAGCACAGGAGACACAAGGGAAGGGGAATCTCGGGTAAACACAAGGAAGGATGCAGGGGAACAGCGACGGCCATGACAAAAAATGTTGGGAAGCTTTGTTCTTGCATGAGGCTTGGCTCTCTGCCTTCATCAGGCTGCCTCTCCTTTTTCAGGAACCTGTGACAACTCTCAGCCCAACGACTGCCGTTCTCCAAACGGCCAGGTGGAAAGCTGTGCAGACTCTGCAGGCCAGTGGCATGTCCCAGGTACACCCTGTGTCACCCCCACATTCCCACCAACTAGTACGCTAGGACCCAGTACCACCTCAAAACAACCATACACAACAACCCCGCCCATTTGCGAACCTGCCATCTGTAATCTCCTAACCAGCAGGTGAGTGGAAATACGCCTACTATAGCTCCTAGACCGTTTACCACCGTGAGGCAGCTGCTGCATAAAGTATTAGTAGTTTGCTTACTTAAATGAACAACCTATATTAACCTACCTGACTTAACGGAAGTTGCCTAAGTCTAACTAGACAACAACCTTTGATTAGATGAAATATAGTCTCATCTCACTATACTTACTTTACATGTATGTGTTCTGCCATGACGTATGGCATATTTTCAACTAATTATGCACAAATACAGTTTTAGATGTGAAAAAGACAGATGTAATGGTGCATAGAGACCCTTTGGGCCTTCCATAACTCCGATACAGCATGTCAACTGTGCATCTCTCCACCATTTGTGAGCATGAATAGGAAACAATATGCGCACTAGTTTTCAATTCAATTCAATTCAATTTTATTTGTATAGCGCCAATTCATAACAGAAGTTATCTCAGGACACTTTTCAAATAGAGCAGGTCTAGACCGAACTCTTTAACATTAATTACAGAGACCCAACAGTACCACCATGAGCAAGCACTTGGCGACAAGGGCAAGGAAAAACTGCCTGTTAAAAGGCAGAAACCTAGGACAGATCCTCCGGCTCTAGGTGGGTGGTCGTCTGTCTCGACCAGTTGGGGTGAGAGAGAGAGAGAGAGAGAGAGAGAGAGAGAGAGAGAGAGAGAGAGAGAGAGAGAGAGAGAGAGAGAGAGAGAGAGAGACAGACAGATGCACAGCAACAACAGCATTGGCAATGGCAGTCAAGCAGGACCATGGCAGGAGGCTCCACCAGGATCCATGAGAACCTGCGAGACGAGAAAGCACAAGAACTCCGGGGAAGAAGTGGAGTTAGTAACATGCATTAAAGGGACATGAATGAGTGCAGAAAGACAGAGGAAGAGAGTAGCTCAGTTTTGACAACATATACCAATTAGCCATAACACCGTGAGCACCTGGGCACCCTGGTGTTCAGAATGTTCTGCAGCCCCATACCACCAAACTGCTCTGCACTGTGTTCAAACACCTTTCTATCAGAACCAGCATTAACTCTTTCAGCAGTTTGAGCTACAGTAGCTCGTCTGTTGGATCGGACCACACGGGCCAGCCTTCACTCCCCATGTGCATCAGTGAGCCTCTGACCCCCATGACCCTGTCTCCGGTTCTTTTCCTTCCTTGGAGCACTTTCACTACAGACCGGGAACACCCCACAAGAGCTGCAGGTTTGGAGATGCTGACCCAGTCCAGCCATCACAATGTGGCCCTTGTCAAAGTCACTCAAATCCTCACGCTGCCCATTTTTCCTGATTCTAACACATCAGTTTGAGGACAAAATGTCCACTTGCTGCCTGATATATCCCCCCAACTGACAGGAGCCATGATAACCAGATAATCGGTGTTATGCAACGTGAAATATCCATAAAATGTGTCACTTAGTTAGGGTTGTAAGTTTACTCAATGATAGAAAAGGGGTCCTCTAAAGAAAAAGGTTGGGCCTTTGACGATGTTCATATTTTTCTGGTCACATGGTGTGTGCAAAGCCTTCTGATCACTTTTCCTGACATACGGTCCTGGCTTGTATGTCCCCCTCTAGTGTATTTGTCCCATGCCACTCAATCATACCTCCGGAACCCTTTGTGAAATCCTGTGCACACAACATTTGCAATGGCGGCAATAACACTTGCTCCAGCCTGGAGGCCTACGCCACCGAGTGCTCTAACGCAGGAGTCTGTATTGACTGGAGGAATTCCACCAATGGGCAATGTGGTGAGAAACATAGTCTATAGTTTACAATAATGTATTTGTTGAGTTCTGGAAAATGTGCATATGTAAACATATCTCCATCTTACAGAGCACATTTGTCCAAGCGACAAAGTGTACATGGCCTGTGGCCCCTCTGTAGAGCCGACATGCAATGACAGGTAAAGTATGAACATAACATTTACTTACCTGATACATATACTCACATTTCTGCTGCCACTGAAGCATTGAGTTAAATGTCCCTAGTGGAGGGTTAGGGTTTAGTTTTGTTGCTTTATAGTGTGTGAGAAGGATATCTTAAAAACCATTCAGTGTATTTTTTGATATGTGGTAATTGAATATAAAACCTTCAGAGAGACATGACGACAACCCCAAATATATACTGTACAATGAAAGGCTATTACTATATTTGGGTCTTTGCACTACAGTTCTAACCAGTAATTCCATTTCTAACAGATACAACAAGAAGTTCCAGGCTGATAGCGGTGCATCCACTAACAACACTAAGGAGGGTTGCTTCTGTCCTCAAGGCTCCACCTTATTCAACACCGTCTATGACACGTGTGTCACCTCTTGCGGTAAGAGGAGATCCTCTAGGAAACTTGATTTGACTGGGACATGGAATATTTGTTTCACAACACAATACTTGTTTCTGTTTGAATTCCAGATTGTGTCGGACCTGATGGGAAACCCAAACAGGTGAGAACTCTGTCTTCAACGTATATTCATCTACTGTACACGAGCAAAGCATGAGCTGTGTGTCTGAACTGGTTCCTTTGTCCTGACCAGCCTGGTGACACATGGACGAGTGGCTGCGACGAGTGCTTGTGTGACAAGGATTCCATGAGCATCCGGTGTGAGCCTGTTGTGTGCCCACCGGTACAGAGCCCCAACTGCAGCGAGTCTGGCCAGCAGCTGGTCAACAAGACAGACGGCTGCTGCACAACATCGTCATGTGGTCAGTTGTAATGTCACAAAACTAGTTGTAATTCTTTCTGTTGCTCTAAATTCAATCATGGCACTGGTGTAGAACTCATGTCCACCTGATATTAACATGTGATCTGCATCTGGAGATCTATATCTGGATCAAGGAAAACACAGGTTAATGCAGGTGATGTTAAGAGAGCCCGACTCTCAGCAGTCTCCTGCTAACTTGTGGTTTATTATGTAAACATTCAGCTTTCTCCACCTTCACATACTGCTAATCATCCCATCCATTTGTCCCCAACAGAATGCAATGTAACCCTGTGTCCCCCTCCTAAGACCTGCCCGGTGGGCTACGAACACAACATCACGTATGGCATCTGCTGCCAGTCCTACACGTGTGGTATGTGACTCTAGTCTATCAACATAGGATTATCTGCTGGTGCACAGTATGTGATGCAGAACTGTACATTCTTATTAAGGTGTTATATGTGGCTGGAAATATTTCCATTACATTGATTTTTAACAAACAAAACTGGATTTGGGTTTGAACTTTGGGGAGAAAAGATGCAATTTCCAATTTTGTGGTGTGTAACAGGAAAATAATATAACTAGTAGTTTAATACTAGTTTTGAGATTATTAATTTTAATAAATTTACTCAAATTATTAGTAAAGAAAGGAAGAACTGTGATTTATACATGTTAATATTTGTTCACAGTTTATTAGTTAGTTAAATCTGAAATAATCAATCCTCACATTAAAGGCCTTTTAAAGCAGTTTTGAAGAAAATGCTTTTCTCACGTTAAAAATCTCTATCCATTTGTTTCTGTGCCCTGTAGAAATAGATTATCCTAGTTTCTACACACATACATTACTAATTTAATAAACTAGTGTCAATGTTAATTTAACTCATGTCTCTTTTTTATTCTTTGCAGTTCGTAAAGATGTATGTGTCTATGACATGAAAGAGTACAAGGTAAGCACGCAGTCCGAACAGACATCAATATATCTTGTCAAGGTTTGGATACAACAGGGAGGAAATTTAGACGCTTTCAGGAAAAGCAGGTTGAAGTTCTGAAGCTTAACCAGCAAACAACATGAAGAAGTTTTATAGGTTTGAATCACAGTGGGAATGTCTTATTTTCCACTGAATACAGAAATCTACACCGAGGTCACTCTTGTCATTCGTTCTTGATAATTGTTCCCTTTCGTATTCACACTAACTTATTACAAAGAATCCTGAACAGAACTGGTTCAAGTACCAGAACTAATGTGGGGGAAAAGGAATGATATGACTGGTGTAATTATGCAAGATTACTATGGATACTATGGTTACTATGGTAAAAAGGAGTTCTTGTTTATGCAACAAGGTCCAGTTGTTGTCTTGAATAATACCCAGTCACCTCGTTCTTTTCAGCTCTTTGTGACAACAGAAATAAACACATAAGGTGCAGTTGGTCCTGCAGCACTAGTCCCCTAAATGTGCAATGGAATGAGCTACCGTCAATATGACTTCATGCTTACACCTCTTGGTTTGTTTGCACCAAGTCAGTGTGAAGATGAAACAGACCAGAAGTAAAAAGTTTCCTTAGAATTGATGTATGAGAGTAAAACGTTGATCGATGTGTTTTTACAGATTGGTGCCAAGATACCAACATCACAAACAACATCAGAACCACCATTAGAAGAACCAGAAATATCATTAAGAACAACAGCAGCACCATCAGGAGCGGGACAACCATCAGGAACAACAACAGCATCATCAGGAGCGGGACAACCATCAGGAACAACAACAGCATCATCAGGAGCGGGACAACCATCAGGAACAACAGCAGCATCATCAGGAGCGGGACAACCATCAGGCAACAGCACACCCAGGAGCGGGACAACCATCAGGAACAACAACAGCATCATCAGGAGCGGGACAACCATCAGGAACAACAACAGCATCATCAGGAGCGGGACAACCATCAGGAACAGTAACAGCACCATCAGGAGCGGGACAACCATCAGGAGCGGGACAACCATCAGGAACAACAACAGCTCCATCAGGAGCGGGACAACCATCAGGAACAACAACAGCACCATCAGGAGCGGGACAACCATCAGGAACAACAGCAGCACCATCAGGAGCGGCACAACCATCAGGAACAACAACAGCGCCATCAGGAGCGGGACAACCATCAGGAACAACAACATCGCTATCAGGAGCGGAGTCTTTTCAACCGGGGCCCTGCCAAGAGTGTTATTGTGGCCCCAAAACTGATGTCGTTACCAAGCTGCCCATCATTGTCTGCAAGCCCATCGTCTGCAACACAAACTGCAACGAAGTAAGTTCATTGAGTGGACTCATGAGAAATAGCTCTCAGCATAATGCAGTCCAGTACAACAGCACCACTGACTGAACCAGCCGCTACCTGACAGTGTCAATAGAAACTGAATATTAAAAGCATCATAAAGGTATGACAAAGCTATTCTATTGGACTGCATTAGGTTATACCAGTTTGCCTAATACAGTGATCCTTGAGTATGTAAGGCTGTATGTTAATTATATGTATTTCTTTTATTGCCATTTTTTGAAAAAAAAAAAAAAAAACCTGGGCTGTTTGCCCATATACTAAGCTAAAGTGGTATCTCCTACAGTACTGAACAATACCATTTCAGTACCGGTTTATCTTCTATTGTTAGTTAATAATATGGTGTTTAAATTGTCCACTAAAGTGATAAATAGCAATTACCTGAAAATACTGCATGAATAGAAAACCCCTGTATCACATTTGAGATGATCAGAAGGTTACATTAAATGTACATGAAATTGAAAAGTTATCCACAAGAGGGAGGGCGATGCAAGTGCACCCCCACTGTAGCGTTTTCTTGGTCATTTTTCACACTCTCTCTCTGTCTGCAGGGTTATGAATATCAGACTGTAGCTGGCAAGTGCTGCGGGACCTGTGTTCAGAACAAATGTATTTTCAGCGCACCTGACAACGCAACGCACATCATGGAGGTGAGTACTGCTTCCCTTGCACTTTTAATAGCCAAGCATATGAGAAAAGTTATCGAAGTTGTGAGCAAGACAGCTCTATTTACCAATTTAGATGGTTGTTAAAGACTCGATAGATAGATAGTTTTGTTTAATTCAAAGCCAAAAGTAAGAAGTAAATAATGAAAGTTGTTTTGTATATGAGCCAAAAGGGCAAAAAGTGTTTCTCTCTGTTGAATATCCGACTCAGTTTCTGCTCTCCCTGTTGGTACAGGTCAACACCACTTATGTACTGCCGAGTGACAAGTGTGTGCAGTATACCTGTGAGGAGATCAATGGACAGTATGTTACCAAGGAGACCAAGACCACGTGTCCCCACTACCGTCCTGAGGACTGTGAACCTGTAAGTTTATCAAACATCTACAACTGATAGCCCTCCCCCCACATACTGTCCATGTGTAACACACAACATGTCTTCCTCCGCCAGGGCACCGAGACAACTGACGCTAATGGATGCTGCAAATCCTGTAAGTGAATACATTTTAAGAATGGAAAGACAAAGATGTGTATCACGTGCCATTGTCAGAGGCTAACAGTTGCTGTGTGTTCCAGGCAAGATACGGAACATCTGTGAGGTCAAGAGTAAGCAGACGGTCATCGAGGTGAACGGCTGTACGAGCGTGCAGTCCGTCAACCTGACGTTCTGTGACGGACAGTGCGGAAGCTCGTCCATGTGAGTCTCTCTTTAGCACCAAATTTGAAATACAGCTTAATCCTTTTCAATGTCGTTGGATGTTCAATTCTCTCAGGTGGAATTTGGTTTCCTAACTAGAGTGAGTTTTCTTTAACATAGCAGCTCATTTAGACAGTATTTGTGCCGCCCATCAGCTAACTGCAAAGTCAAAAACATGATTTTACAGAAATAGTGGGCTTCCACAAGAATGCTTGTCCAACTTTTGGCATTTGACTGTGCATTGATGTGTGTTACACTCTGAACATTGTGCCACTTTATACTAGAATAACCTGACAGGGGGCCCCAGAGCAAACATTTGCTGTTGGGAACCTCTTAAGTAACAATTAGCATCACACAAGCACAATATAAACTAAATTATCAAAGATTGATCTTAAAACCAGATTAGATAATACAAGCCTTTGATGTTTAACTCACTGTTGTCTGTTGCTGTGTGTGCGTGTGTGTGTGTGTGCAGGTATTCTGCAGCAGCTAACATGATGATGCACCAGTGTGAGTGTTGCCAAGAGGCCACCACCAGTCAGAAGCAGGTGCAGCTGTCCTGCGCCGATGGCTCCAAGGTCCAGCACAGCTACACCATGGTGGAGACGTGCAGCTGCAACAAAGCAGAGTGTGTGGGGGGGACAACGTCCAAACCACAGCGCCGCAGGAGACGCTGATTGACTACTTAGTGTTTGACACTGGACTGAAACCTTACAAACACTTAACCTTTTCAACCTTCTTATTCTCAGATTTTATTATTTATAGCCCAACATGAAACCTTTCTTCTACTTTAAATTTCTTTGATAATTATTAAAATGATATCTCTGCAATACGAACACTTGTGTCGACATTTGTATTGATCCCTGGGGAATGGTGAATATTAATAGCTGTATATTCTAAGCAAAAAGGTCAGTTTGACTTACCCTTAAGCCCCGCCCCTTTTGGAACCTCAGTCAACTTTCTCCTTTCCTATACTTAGATATGCCATTTGCTAGTGACATACATACAGTCATATCTTATGTTAGCAATACATTAACATTAGCTAGCTTAAGATGTGACTTTCACCGTTATCCTTTAACCATATAGCTTAGCACATAGCATATGTCAGTACAGGAAAGCAGAAAGTGGACTGAGGCTTGCTCAACTGTTATTGGAACACAGATCAAAAAGGGGCTGGGACTTAGGCAGGGTCAATTGAAAATAACAGAATCACATGACACAGAATAAAATGACTGACATTTTAACAATCTCAACAGCAGTATTTTGGAATCACAAGTGAAAAGTCACAACTATAAGACATCTCTTACATGAAACCTTTGGCAGACAGCACATTAACAACAAGACCTTGTAAGCTACAAGTGTCAGTGGAAAGCTTTAGGAACTACAATTACTGCAGCTGAAAGAAGACTAAACATGTAAAGCTCTGCTTGCGGTGTTAGAAGCTGCTGTGCAATACACTGAACTATGAAGCATGAATGAGCTCCCCCAAATCTGTTTGGTTTTTTTTCCTCATGTAAAATTTTATCTGATGGTCAGGAGTCTTCTTCTACTTCTGGGGACCATGAACAGCCAAAGCACATTTCATGGAAGTCTGGTCACTATAATGTTAGCCTCAGCTCCTCCTGAAAACAGATGAGGACATTTAGCTCATTGAAAGTGGACTGAGTTACTCTCCACTTTACCCTAGTCACTGCTTAGACCAGTGCCTCTCAAATTGGGTGCAAAAAAATTGTGAATATTTGAATTTCACCACTATTTCATTGGCTAAAAGTTGACTGTTAGGTTTCACACTCTTCACTGTTTATCTGCCAATCTACAGTACAGACAGTTATAGGATAACTAAATCTTACCAGACAGGGATCTTAGACTACATCTTCCATCCATGGCAGATGATCAACTTGGATGGAAAAGGATGGAAAGTGTTTTGGTCTCTAAAACTCTAATCAAACACCCTACTGAGCTTCCAAACACCCTAATCTCATCAGGAAAGTGAAATCTTCATTCTCATTTGTTTTAAGAAGCCAATCTGCAGGATCTTCCTAACAGCATCAGGTCTTCCCATCCCATCACCGACTGAAACAGGTTACATTAAATTCACTGTGAAACTTATAAACCTCACTGTCTCAGGTTATTTCTTCATTCTCAGTTCTCTCGTCGCCATAAAGAATTCTACATAATTTAATACATCCATAATAATTTATCAGATTTTGAGTGCACTAAACATTTTACAGCTACATATGAAACAGAAGCAGTTCGCTGCAGGTTACTATAGACAGCTTCTCCACACACTGTTAACAACATCAACAGAAGATGGACTGAACATGACTCACTACAGCTCAAACAGTGCAAATCAAACCCTGGGGAGTGCAGATAGGTTACCATGGATACAGTGAACGATTGTGCTGTTGAAACAATCAAGAAACACATAATGATTCCGACTATTAAGATTTACAATGATCATCGAGTCACACTACTGCCAATTCAGTATTTAGTTTGAGTCTCTAATGTGATACAAACCTCAGTGATCCTGTCAGAATTTCCCAAATACATCCCATATCATCTTAAACCAGCGGTTGTTGCGATGCTTTGAGGAGATAGTGTCAGTTGTGACAGACAGCTGAGTGTTAGCAGAGACAGCCCAGGATTCTTCATGTACTGTTAGGCCAACAAGGAGTCAATAAAGGGAGAGGAGACAGATCTCTGTGGCAACCAGCTGAGCTGGTGGGAGCTCAGGTATGGCTGCAGTGTGTGGCTGTGTCTGTGTGTATGCAAAGGGCGGGCAGTCTCTCCGTGTATATGTCGGTGTGCATGCTTACCTGTTTGTGTGTGCGTGTGTGTGCATGTGTGTGTTAGCATGTCCACTGCGAGCTCGTGCTCTGCAGTTAGAGCTCCTCGGCCATCTGCAGCAGAGAGTTGATGGCAGCGTCCTTGTTGCCCTGCTGTGCGTCCAGCACCGTGCGAACCACCTCCTTGTCCAGGTTGGGGAACATGTCCTGCAGAGCCTTCAGGTCCTCCTCGCTGCACACTGGCCCCTGGCCCCCAACTGCTGGCATGGTTGCTGGCATTGCCATGGGCACCATGCCCTGGTTGTAGACTGCAGGCACTCCTGGCGACAGAGAACACACACAGCTTTAACATTATCCGGGTTATTTTCTCAGACCGGACTCCTCCAGATCCACATTAGCAGCACGTGTGTGTGTGTGTGTGTGTGTGTGTGTGTGTGTGTGTGTCTCACCTGCGATGGGCACATATCCCACTCCTTGCTGATACACAGAAGGCATTAGGACAACAGGCTGAGTCATCATCCCTGCTGGTAAGGACTGGCACCGAGACACAGAGACATGAGTTAGAGCTGTGCTGGACGTGTTGGTACATTATGATCACATCCCTGCAACCTCTGCTCTCTCTCAAGTAACATCCACACCAGCAGAGGGCAGCAACACAAACAGTGTGCACAGAGGAGGGCCCTACATAAACAATGAAAACTGAAGGCCCCCACAAAATAATTTGCGTCTTTTGTCCTTTAATGAACACTTTTCATTGAGCTCAGTGGAAAACGTCATGAGGTCAAGGAAAGATGTGAAGGAGAATTCATAAAGGAAAAGACAGTGAGAGACGGAGGGAATCCGACAGCACACCAGGCTTATCATGGCTGCTGCTGAAATATTTCACTCAGTTAGGAAGATTCCTAAACAAAATCTATAACATTTGCTTTGTCAGTAGATGTTTAACAGTATCTATAATAACGGTTCTCAACTGTATTTTAATGTCACTATTAGTTCACTGACTACAAGTTAGCCCAATGAGAGAATGTATAAGAAAGACCATTCTGTTCATAACTTTCATACTACTCTCTGTTAATCTGCCTAATATTAAAAAAATACATGTATGTGTATCAATCTAGGGTCTCTGACACCAAAAAGGTTGAGAGCCACTGATCTATATGGCTTTTTTAGACGATGGCTACTTTTCCTTGACGAGAGTACTCACAGCAAAAGACATCACCAGGTTGATCATGCCCTCCTTGTCATCGCCCTGTCTGCCGCTGAGGCTGAACCACTCGTCCACCACGCTGCCCTCCCTCAGGCCCTCAGGGATGGTGACGTGAGTCCACGCTATCCTGTCATCCATGGAGAACGCTCTCTGGACGGCAAAAACACAGAAACAGACAAAGCACACGCTCATCAGATCACTTAATACACACGTGCAGAAATGAAGATTTGTTCATGTGGCTGTTGCCTTGTTGATAGCTGCATTTTACAGTTTAACATCATTTTAATGAATAGAATGGAATGGAATGGAATAGAACATGTCTGTGAAACCACACTGCTGTGTCCTCAGACACTGTGGTTTATAGGATTTTAAACTTGCAACTTTTCAAAAGATCAAGACTTGCAAACTGCTGATTAATACACTTGAGTTGGTTCAGTGTTTTGTCCACTTCCGTATAAAACTGCAGTGATGTGATTTCAGAGCACTCTGCTAAACTGCCACATCCAATCCCAAACGGATTGCCATTAAAGGGTGTGTCAGTCTGATCCCGTGTATCCTTACTCAAGCCGCCTCCAGGATTCCTCCTCACTCCTTTGAGCAGAGAATCAGTACATCCTTCATAATGTCTGACCGGATTAATTACCAAATATTCCTCAAATAAAGGAGGTGGGATATCCTAGTGTTTGACAATCCCTCGCTTTAATCCATCCTCGCTTCCCCCCCCAGCAATCCATGTCCACACCTTAACCCTTCAGTCACAACAGGTCATAGCTGCTCACTGTATATCATATCAGCTCTGATTGGTTGCTTTCATTCAGGCCCGGTGGATTTTTGCAAATGCCATCAGGAGCACTAAGAGGAGCCAGAGGAAGAGATTATCTGTCTTATGAGCTACTGACAGAACACACAACAATAGTTTAAAAAACTGAAACCACTTCTTACTTTTGTCATTTGCAGCAGAAAATAAATATTTAATTATGTGTGTACCTGAAGAAGAGCAACAGTCCCCACATACATTGTGTACACGTTCAGCAGTTCAGATTATCCACCACCTCCTCCACCCCCTCACCTCATCAAAGATCTCCAGGTAGAAGGAGTCCACCCCGGGAGGCACCGTGCACTGGATCACCTTGTTCCAGCGAGGGTTCTTGGCTCCGTTGTGAGCGGTTGGCGTTTCGTAGACTGCATAGCCCAGTCGGATCCTACAGTACGGATCCATCCGGGTCATTCCGTAGTTTTTAGCCAGCTTGGCCTGTATAGCAAAACAAACAAGGCAGCTTCAGTTAGCGGGTTCACTCAAGGTGGCTGCTGTCACAGTTGTATTCAGTGGATGGTGGTATACAGATGCAGTCTGATGGTTTCAAATGTGCAACGTGTCCACACATGATTTCAGCTCTGAATTACATTTACATGCAATAATAAAAAGAGGTTAAAGGGACAAATTAGTGTCCTGTTCTTTGCTCGTGTCTAGATGGTAACCTTAGTTCTGCGAAAACGCTTGCAAGATTTGAATGTGTTTCATTATGCGTGTTGTTTGTCACTGTGTACCGTTACCATAGAGCCACAAGAAGCATTGTTTGGTTCCATATTCTGGTTGCAATATAGTTTAGGCACGTCTTACTTTTCCCCTTGCAGATGTAGGCTACCTTAATGTTGTACAAATGTGAACCAAGTTGTTGTCACTGCTATGCATCTATCAGAAAAGAGTACTCTATAGTGGAGATTTAAGATTTCTGTGCATTAATAAGCCAAGTGGCCTACAACAGCATGATTTGTCACTATGACTTTTACAGCTATCTGCGAATGTCTACTACAGTGGATTTCTGCTCATTACTAGTTATAT